CTGATTGGGAAGGTCCATACACTATCGTCACTAGAATAAATGACGTAGTTTATCGGATCCAACGTGGACCAAAGACGAAGATGAAGATCGTTCATCTCGATCGACTAAAACGGTACGAAGGAAACAACGAAGATGCTTCCGATCGGGACGATCGGATTTGAAGAGGGGGGCAGTGTTACGAAATACACCCTTACGCCGCCCCAGTACGACGCCTATGGCGGTCGAGAGCCTTCTGGACGTACGCACGGCGCTGATGGGTGAATCATCGCTGTTGACGGCCGAGAGGCGGGCGCATAAAGACAGGTCTGGAGCGTCTCGAAGCGGCGTCCAGGGGAGTCTCGAAGCGGAGTCGCGATGGATGTTCGTGAAGGATCTCGATCAGAGACTATGGGTTTAAATAGAGGCGACCGTAGGTAATGGATTCATTCATCCAGTGAAGACAGTCGAGAGCGCCGGAATAATTTCTGTACATATTCGTCGCAATAGATAGTGTTGTAATTCGACCTGAAGAAATAAATTTTTGAGTTTTACCAACACCCGATTTATTATTCGTCCGTCAATCGTAACAATATGCAAACCACTGAGCGTCGCTATCTACCATCTTCGGTCACAACCTTGGAAACATTCCAAGGACAAACAAACCGTCCTAATAACAACACAACGCTAATTTCTTCCCCAACAATTGACATTTGAAATGTCGATAAATAGCAAAAAAATTAACGACCAATTTTTATGTTGTTTGTTTTGATTTTTAATCGAGACATTGACTCCGTCTTGTTAATGCCCGGTAAATAACAACCCAGCCTTGGTTGTTTTTATGCCCATTGGAGAGTAACTCTGGCGAATTTGATTATTAATAGCCGTACGCGCTGGCATTTAACAATGTGACACAATATGCGTGGTACGCATTTAAATCACAATTGGGTGAGCGTCAAAGAGTTAGCGCCATGTATTGCGTTTGACGTCATCGTCATCGTCCATTTAATAAGATTCCAAAAAGAAAGGCATTCTGCTGCGTTGGTGTCTAATTTCTGTTTGTTTTATCGCCGACGTCACTCGTATAAATTCGCGTTTGATATAAAATTTTATTTTACTGCGTGGTGAGATGACGGTTCGCGGAACGAGGAAAGCAAAAAGGCACGTGCTATTTGTATATTAGATAGTTGGAAAATAGTTCGCATGATTTCATTCATGAGACTATTAATAAATCGAAATTATGCATCGACGCATTGGGAGATCGTGATTTACTATGACAAGAATACAGTGTGGAACAAAAGGTTCTGAACATAATAGTGTAGTTAATAAAAAAACGCAGAATATCTTAACTTTTACAGCTCGTAACGTTGAACAAATAAATTAATGATCTTCTGTCGTATTAAAACCTACAAAGTGCGGAAACCCTGGCCTAGTGCCCGGACCCTGATTTTTTTTTATTTAAGATCGAGGTTTTTTATAGCCGAAACGAACTTGTGCAATGTGAACTCAATTTTTAATAGATATGTCTGGAGTTTAAAGTTAAATAATCAATAAGTGTTACCTAAGGTGAAAAGAATATGTGGGTATTAAATTATTTATTTATGACTGCAAAAACTGACTTTGATTTGTTTAACGACGATCCCTCTAAGTTCGGTCGAAACAACAGCCAATATGCGGGATTGATAATCTGTGTGATTTACAAAACCACCTGTATAAAACGATAACAAGTATTCAGATAAGCTCAAATTTACCTTTACAAACTCAGCAGAAAAAAAAACAAATAAAATTAGGTTCACAATTTCATTTCAAAAGAACTATTAAATCGAATTAACTGAATTCTGTAAATTTCGTACCGAAATGTATTTATTAATTAAACCAAATTTCTGAGCTTTTATTCCCTCTGCCTTTCCACTTTCATTCTTTTAGACATCATTATTAAATTAATTTGCAAAAAGCTTGGTAAGAATGTGAACTTGTACCCACCTCGATGAATGAATAATAAGGCCAGTTAAGGAGCATTTACATGAACTGGCAATCGCAAATACCTACCACTTTTATGCTGTGCCCATTATGTTGAGCAGACATTTGTAAAGGCACCATTACACTATTCCGTTCCGTTTATGGCAGAAAACCGTAGTTAAATTAAACCTGCGGTTAATCAATTCAACGAATCAAAATTTCAAGATCACTCCATACGCGTCATTATTATTTAACAAGGCATACTAAGTGGCCCTTAATATTTATAATTCAACGGGTCGACCTACTGTATGTAAATGCTTCTTTACGCAACTAACGTGTAAATATAAATGTACTAAATGTGACAGTGCGAGTTCATTGTACATGTAACATTTAATAAAATCAACCCAGTAAAAATTTTCCACTGTTCTATGTATGTCGTTCTTATTGAAATCAGTTCTTACAGTTTCGTAATGTTAATAGAGTTACATTTTTTTTTGTAGGTCATATAATTCTACTGATGTATATTTAGTAACATTCGGGGGCATCGGCTGTAAATTTGTTCGTTACATACCACTCTGATTAATGGCAGCCTTAAATATAGCGGAGGTCTTACAAACACAGGAAAGGATGCTGGTCCATCCAGTTTGTAATAAATTCAGCTATGAAATTTTTTAATTCGTAGTTTTCCGCTATGATTAAATCATAAGGCGTTCTGTGAAACGAAACAAAACTTAATACAGAAAGCGACTGTTGAAACGATACACTTACGAAGAAAAATACTTTTGTATTTTATTGATTTACCTTGTGTAATGACAACCGATACTCGTAAAAACGTCAAACAAAATGTAGATGTATTCAATTACCCTTTTGTTATTTGCAAATATCAATTTCTGTTCGTTTCATAAATATGGTATATTTATTGATTTTTTTTAAGAGAAATTTCGTTTTCAAAAATCCGGAAGACTGTCCGTCTTTATTTTGACACGAAGGCCTTGACCTACCGTTATTCCGTAAGCGATGACGCAACTGAAAAGTCGATGCACCAAGGACCTTATCAAGTGGCGTTTACAGTGTGTATTAATTTCTCTTTCTAGCTCTAACTTTCTCTACTGACGTATACGGCACCATTAACTAATGCAAAAGCGAATTCATTCTGAACCTCTATTTAAAATTGTCTATTTATTTCTCGATGATTGATTATACCGTGTTCGAGAAGTTTAGACTCATTGTAATTTGTAAATTAGTGACTCAGGTGTTAATTTGTCACGTTACTCGCTATTTTAAAAACTCACAACAAACTTTCCCGTTTCCTTGAATATAAGTGATTGATGGTCTATCCGCTAATTCCATTTTAAAATGTAGTAATCTAGTTATCACATTTTACGATGAAATTGGCACTCAGACGGATACAATTTTACCAAAGCAGTGCTAATAAGGTTGATATTATATAAACAAATCATAAAAGAAATAAAATAAGTGCCATTATGACGATCACTACGCCAGAATTTGGGTTGAGTAAGGTCCGGTTGTAGCCAGCTTGCTTGTCCCAAAATTTACACAACAGCAACAAGTTTTTAAAATATGTGTATGTAATCTTTGTGTGCGCTTTCTAATAATGTCGATTTGTATGTGACTAAGTACTGATTTTTACAACAATCAACCTGACCTTCCATTTTAATCTAGTATATGGTTCAGCATTCATTATTCCAGAACTGGAATTATACGTGAACCATAAAGTCAGAAAATAACCACGTCGTCGAGATAAGCGCTGATTAAGCCAGAACCTTTTCGACCGAACGTCGTAAATCTCCCCTAGTAAGTAAAATTTTCCTCCCTTATGATTTATAGTCGCTGATATTTATTAAAATATATAGTTTATTGAAAAACCTAAATATGCGCAGTTATTGAGAAGGTCAGTGCGGAAAAAGGTCACCCCGAAATCAATACTCATTCCTAATTTCTTTCTTCGTAACTGGCTGTAACTGTTTAATGTCACTGGGCAATCGTTTGAAGATTTCCAAGGCCCTTTTTAATCACGTAGCCGCAGGATTGTTGGCTCAAGCAATACGGCTTTCAAGCCAAACTAGATGCTTATTTTAAACCACCGTTAAAAATTAATTTGCGGTAATGTGCACTTTACCTGCAATTCCGGATAGGTCGGGATTAAGCTTGACCTACCCCGATGGCTAGACGCCAAAAGGGTCGATAATAGGGGTTTTGACTAGTAAAAACCTACTCAAATGTTTTCATTGCGTAATGTTTTGTGTGCACAATGTTTTGCGGATTTTGCATATTTTTAACAGTAAAGTTTATTTTAAAGTCGAAAAGGTGGGAGTGGGGGCTGAGTTGGCAAACATCCTCATAAATAATGCGGAGACCCGTCCTAAATCGGTTGATCTTGACTATTTATAGAGAAGTTGCTAACAAAGTACAAGCTTCAGGAGAATAACGAATTTATTTTTACAGCACATTTACAGTCCGTTGAAATCGATAGGATATATTGTTTTTATGATAGCTTAACGACTAAGTGAAGTTAGTTCGAGTGGCGCCCTCTTCGGGACGTTAGATCAAATAAAAATCGAGGACATGTAGCTTTTACTGCAATCGATATTTCTGCTTAATTCATCGACAGACACCGCTGTCGCCAACCGTTTTACTTAATTACATAATTTATATGCAAAGAGGATAGCAACATTTTTTTTTGGGCAATGACGCTCAAATCGTTTAAATATTTAAACACTACTAAATGTGATGGATTGGATTCGATAAATTCCTGAGTGTAAATTATTCTGTTTCACGCAGCTATTTAGAATCTCGGGTTCAAAATACTACTTTTTTATCGTTCACTTCGTAACGAAAAAAGTCTGTCATCAGTTGCTTAGAAAAAATAAACTTCACAATAAAATATGTTCACTGTTTAGCAATATTTGTTTTTCTTTTCAACTGTAATAAAAAACACTGTTTGAAGGAGTTTTATATGTATAATAATTGTGTCACAAGCGTTATTATAAGTTTTAGTTCAGCCTCCAGCACTCAGTTCTAGGTTTGTAATTTATATGCTAATGTTGGGTAAAAAAAACTTGAATATTTATTTAATAAAAAATTTACTACTAAATTGGCAAGGCTTATTCTAAATCGCTAGACACTATTAAGGAGATTTTAAATGTTCTGGGAGTGCCTGTAACTCAACCTACAACAAAAAAATTAAAATTTACTACAATATTATAATAAATACGTGCCTTTGTCGCCTTTAATGCTACACCCTCTGGTAGATTACGTTCAACATATTCCAAAAGTGTGTCAGCTGTACTTCCCGTAACATGTTTGTATTGTATAAAACTAAAGTATGTTCTGGTTTCATATTGCACCTGGTGCTTTTTATAAATATGTACAGACTTTAATACACTACGTCGATCATGTATCGGTTTACGTAAATCCCACCTACAAAAACGACATATACACAGGTTAAAGCATGAATAAAATACACTACGTAGTTGATTTGATATCTAAATGGTTTCCAGCCGTTGTAGCAAACTTTACAAAACTTTTTAAAACCGCTGGATCATGCCCCTTTAATTCTAGTTCAACAATCTTATACAACTTATCGAGTTCACCTTCTTCTGCGGCTTTTGGTAAATTGGACATTAGTCGAAAAAGAGGTTTTGAGGTTATGGCTACACCATTCTGTAATGCTTTGAAAATATTCTACAAAAAGTGGTTTAGAAAGATTATTTTAGGATACAGTGTTTTTACCATTGTGGTGATTAGGTCAATATGTTCTAATAAAGTAATAATTTAATAAAATACAAAATAATATTATTTTTCACATTTCAATTTTTGACAGATGTAGACGCGCCCCCTGTTGTTAAGAAGTTATTATTATTAAACGGATCTGCTAGTTTACAGGTTGTTCTTTTTTAAATTAAATAATTAATTAATACATAATGGACTCAACTTGAATAACTGAATTAATAATAAGAAACATTATTGTATATTTCATTAATCAATAACGTTAATTCCGGCGACCAAAAAAGTTGTTCTTGAATCGTGACGAATTTATCGTCCACATGGGCGGCGACTTTTTAATGTTCTAATGGGGGCAGGGGCAAATATCATTTTAATATGACGTAACTGCTTTTTTTGTAATATGGTGAGTATATCGCATTTAACTTGTAAGAATCCCTGTGTAAAAGGCGATGGTAATTTACTACCAACGGAAATTCCACAAAAAAGTAGACTCATGTGTAGACCCGAGGAGGGTGGAATATTCTACCCTCCTCGTGTAGACCGTATCTTTCATAGAATGAAAAAAAAAAAACTGAAAATACGTAGAATGGGAGGGCAATGTGAATTTTTGTTCATCTCTCGCTATTGTATTGTTGGTTGCATATACAAAAATGGACAACTGTTATTATTATTATTACAATGAATTTCTTAGGCAGAAACAGAATTTAGTCATAATTTTATTGACAAATTAGGTAATAGTTAAATACAATACAGAAATCTATTAAATTTAACTGCTTCAGTTTAAAACCACTGCTGACAAATTTTAGTCATAAAACAGCAGACTGCTGTTTACTTATGCACTTGTTGTTTTGTTTTAAATGCGTAATGTCGGTATTATGCAAACATTTTATTGCAGTGGTTTCTTGTTTTGTGGAAATGCTTTGCAATGAATAAATTACATTTCCACTGAAATTATTTTCAAACTAATATGCACAACTTAATGTCGTAGTTAGCCTTGGGTTAGTCCACAAACAAATTTGCTATAAATGATTTCAAACATTGAAAAACTCATTATTTCCATCACTATAAGGGGAATTAGGTACTTGAAAGTTTACAAAATCAAATTTTTATGGAGAGTTTGTGTACCTGTGTAGTCGACGCCTCTGGTCCACTTTTTTTACCAGTGGTTTAGTAGGTAAAAAAGCACTTATGCCAAAATTGATTATTAATGCATAAAATGTGTTTATCTGAAGACGTCATGAAGTAAAACACTAAAACTGCGGTGTTAAAATAAAAATACGTCAATTTCGAATTTCCGTGTAGCGTTTTTTGATTGGTCGATTGCGTAAAACTGGGTCATGGGCACAGTGGAACTAAAACATCGTAATGTTGGTAACGGCAATAAAGATTGGCAACAATTTAGTTATTTTTTAAAGTCGATTAATGACAGACAAGACATTACATTATAACTTCTCGAACTTACGGTGCACATTATTATAAATAAACGATATTACAAATGTCAAAATGTTTGGGTATTCGTTATCGTGGTATATTTTTGCACTCACATTATTGGAATCAATAATTAAAACGCACCTAACTGTACATGACGGCAGTCATGGTAAGTTTTTCCTACATTTGTGTATATGTAACAAGAAGTTATCTTGTCCTTAAATGACATTACTTGCGTTTAATTTATATCATAATAAACCCCGCTTTAGGTTTCATGACAAACAACCAGAGATATTTCGACAACGATCTCAGCGTTATTCATGAGGTATGTTCGATGCAATATTTGTTTAACACGTCTAAAATGATTTTTTTTTTGTGTTATCACAGGAAATCGCATCCGGATTGAGGTAGGTTGCGGTCAACGTTTCAAGATTGAGACATTCTAAGAGTTTGATTGTAGGTCATCAAGAATTAACGATGACTTGAAGTTACAACTCAAGTTTGAACCAGCATTTCTTGATTTTAAGTATAGGTAAGGGTTGAATTGTGTCTGATGGTGTCAGTAACGCGTTTTCTTGCAGGCCTTTAGGTATCCCCCATTTAGAAAAAGTAACATTGTTCAATGTGGACAGTAACAAGAGCATTGACATGACTTCAATTTCTGGTAGCACTGTTCACTTCCACAGTTCTTTTTTTGAAGACAAAGTGAGAATTTTTTATCAAAAATACTATTACATTGATGGAATTTTTTCAGAAAATTCCTCCTTTAGGTAACACTTCTTTTAATGTTGTGTTCCTGGGCCGAGAAGAGGGATTTGTGGAAAGTAATCTCTTTATTCACACTACAGAGGGCCACTTTAAGTACAATGTAAGTTAAATAGTAACAGCAAGCACCTCCAGAGTGTCATTTTTGTGTTGTAGGTGAAGGGTTCCAGCATTTTTAGTCCTTACAGATTAAGACCCATTGTAGGTATTAAATTGCCAATAAATGCATCTTTTTCTCCTCTAATATACATGCACAATCCTCACACAGAACCTATACAAGTGAGTATGTCGAAGCCGTCTTCTGGTGCTAGCAGTTTGCATGCTTGTAATGTAAAAATTCACCTTGTCACAGCTTACCCAACGACTTTGTTGCTATACCATTGCACCATTTTAGATTGTCGAAGTGTACAGTAGTGGTGGAGATTTCCACCTAGAGCTCCCCACTGGAGAATTAGAAGGTCCAAAGGACATGTGGGAAATTCCTCCCCTTCAAACGAAAGCAGTCATTCGCGTCAGGTTTCAAGCAAAATCTGAACAAAACCACACTGCATATGTGAGAATTAAAGTGAATAGTAGTGAGGAAATTCTTGTTGTGCCATTAGAAGTGGAAGTTTCCGCAGATGGCGGGTTGTTTGACCCTCAGGGATCTGTTGATTTTGGGATTGGGGGTAGTTTGGACTCTTCCAAACAAGTGGAGTTGTGTGTTTATAATCCTCTAAAGAAAGCTGTGAGGATTCATAGTGTTGTGTCTTCATCTGAAGCCGTTAAAGTGGCTTTTGAAAACGTTAAAATAATGCCGGGGGCGAAGGAGGGAAAGCATGGTTGTGTCAGAATTGGGACCCTCACCCTAGATTGTAAGTAAAATTTTTTGTTTGATTTTTTTGCGGAAAAAACTAATTTCTCAGGTTGAAGTTTTTATTCTGCAGTAATTCAAGAAATTTTATTCATTTTAAGTTTAATAGTAAATAAGGTATAAACGAGGGTTCATAAAATTTTTGGATTAGAGTTGGCCATGGAAATATTTGTCATGTCTTTGATTAAAATACAAAAGTCAAACATTCAAATTATTGAAATATAAATGAGGTTAGGCATGACATTTGCAGTTTAATCAAAGACATGGCAAATATTTCCATGGTCAACTCAAATCTGAAAACTTTTTGATCACCTATTAGATAAGTATAGTGTGTATTTGGGAGCTGGGTGATATGGAAATTTCGATATCAAATATTGATTTCCGAATGTTGATATTTCAAGGTGTAAATATCGTGGGAAAATATTAACATATGGTTGTATTCATATATCGGTAAATTGATGTGTCACGATGTTGTGATATTAATATATCACAATATTACGATATTAAGTTGAACTTATCCTATTAATATATCATTTCGTCGATTTACTAAAATTATGGTTGTGTTCATAAAAAATAAAGTAAATCAAAAGCATTAATTTTTGCCATGACCCTCACAGATATATTGACTGACAAATTCTGAAATGGCATATTAAAATATTATCAATAAATTGGTATATCTATAGTTCGTTATTAATTAATTTTTAAATTAAGAATTTGTTTTAGGAATTTATTTTAACGATGTTTAGTTACTAAGGAAAATGATTATTACTAGAGCTGTGCGGTTCAAATTTATTTATCCCCACTATCCGTCCCATCAGGCCAGCAGTGCAGGCCGCTGCAGTCTTGCCTTCCTCGCTTCTCGCTTCTCATTGTGTATTATTTTTCATAATTCACATCAATCGTTTTATTGTCAACGAGACCGACACTTGAACATTATTAAAATTATTATTCTTATTATTTCGTGGGTATGGATTTTAAAATCAGCAACTGATTTTCAGTGAACATTATTTTTCGCGTAAATTTCTTCGCGATACGTAACATCGGCTGCGAGACACTGGTCTGCCGTAGTAGGGGTCGATTCGAAACGTTTAAATTTCGTCCGCACAGCTCTAATTATTACACAGTCGATATGTTATGATAAACGAGTTTAAAATATTCCAATTTTTTATACCTATTCCAAATTTTAAAATATATTTGTCGAGTAAACAAGTGTTATTTCAAGGTTCTTTTTGTGTGTAGGTCCAGTTAGCTTTGTTTTTCTTGATAACTTCACTACTAATTTGAAAAGAGCAATTAAAAAAATTGTTTCCGCAACGTTTAGAATTTACAAAGGCGATATTAATTTTATTGTGACGTTTTATATGTAACTAAAAGTCAATAACTTTTCATAATTAAAAGTTTGATAGTCGTAAACATAATAATTATTGATTAGTATGCTTTGATAACGAATTTCTTGTTTACTTGTTGTGGCGTAATAAATGCGTCAGTATTCAGTAAATAGTGCCAAAGTATTAATATTACTCAGTATATTTCATCTTATTTGGTGAATTAAGTTACTCCATGTTTCGTTTTTATTAAATTCTAAAATTAAAGTTTTCAATATTAATTTCTACATGATTTCAAGTTATTAATTTATGTCTAAAGCAGCATTATTTTTAGAAGCGACTCGGTCGTTTAATTTTAATTTGAAAACTTGATCAAAATAAACAAACATGTTATTGACTAGGTTTCTTTCAGGGAAAACTGCTTTCAAAACGCAAGATTATTCCGGAAAGATAACCGTCAAATATAAAAACGGTAAAAGCAAAACAGAAATACCGTATTATTTGACGGTGCTCGAAGGAGGAATATCGTATGATCCCTCAATCACGCGATACTTCATCAACGACAAATCCGACGGTCTATTTTCAAGGAATTTTAAAATAAAAAACAATTTCCTCTCGTCGTTGAGGCTGATTAATTTAACGCTACCTGAAGAAGCACAAAGATATTTTAAAGTGAGTTGAACGATTTCGTTCGACGGAAGAATTTTTTTATTTGGTTTTAGATCGAAAGTTTTAAACCTCTCATCCTCAAACCGCAACAGGAAACCACTATTTTTATCATAAAACTCAAAAATGCGGTGCATATATCGGACTTGAAAGTCAATTCGTACATTACTGTAAAGACAAACATTTCTGATATTACAGTGCCCCTGTTGAGCTACAACGGGAAGCTGCAAGTGGTACTACAACAAATAAAAATTGTTTCGTCTTTGATAAACCCTCATTTTCAGTATTTGCCGTTCAAAAGCAAAGATTATTCCCTCGACTTGGGTCTAATCAGTTTCGACTCGACGAAAGAAATCTTTTTTCTCGTCGTCAACAACAACCCAGTTAGCATCACAATTAGAAATGTGAAAACGTCGATTCCCATGACCAACGCAGTGATGTTGGGTTGTGGAAAAGGCGACCATAATGCGGCATTGTTGCAAGTGACGTTTCAGAATCTTACGCAATGCGTAAGTATTGAGCACGTTTTCGTGGGTGCAAATTAACGCTGCGATTTCGTAGAGTTTGTTAAAAACGACTGAATATGCAGTTATTCGACTTACAGTACAAACTTTCAATGCTGAAGGTCAGATTTGGGGCGACGTCCAGATAGAGACCCAGTATGAGAACTTATCAGTCCCTGTCCACTTTAAGGTGGCTCCTGGGAAGCTAGAAATTGGACCGGATCGACTTGTCTTCGATCAGTGTTTTCCGGTAGGTGCCCAAAGCATAGGTAGGTTCAGTCATTTTTGCACGATTTACAGCTGTAAATTAAGGTAGCGATAACATGTACAAAAAGTAGATAAAATTGTAATTAAAATGCTTAAGTAAGTTAGTGTAGCGATGATTTTGAACTGTGGACTTAGTAGTGGAAAATGAAGCTTCTAATTTATCTACTTGAACTATTTTGTCACTATCTTTACGCACAAAGAATTTATCTCTTTGGTATTTTGTTTGTCAGTACGGTGCCAACTTCGTGCTAAATGCGAGTGGAATAGTCAACATGATGCATTTAGATTCAAATTAACAGTTTGCTCACAGCATACATTTTAGACTTTTTTGAAACGCGAAATCTTAAAATTTGCCGATTTAATTAAATATTAAGGTACTTATCCAAGATCTGGAATATTTGAGATAATTTTAATATCTTTGTTATTATATAAATACCAAGTGATAACAAAATGAACATTGAGGTCAAACTGGTTAAAAATAAACAAACGATTTGCGATAAAAAAATCTTTTTTGGCAATAAGTTTTCACAAAAATTATAAATTGATAACAAGGAAATAGCAATGCATTTGTGGTTCCAAGTTTTCTTATTTTATTTTTAATGTTTGGTGGGCTACTGCACAATGTTTTAAAATTTTTGTGCTAGTTACATGGTCTTAAAAAAGACAGTGACTCTGCATATTTTTTTCCAATGACGTGTGTTATGTTTTTATAATTTTTCATACACTTAATTTATTGTTTTGGTGAAATATGGATGATTTTGTCGGTGTTAACAAAACTGTTCCAATTTGTTGATAAATCGAATGACGTTTGAGTTTTATTTATAAAATTGGTATAAAATTATTTACACAGAATTTCCCTCGTCCCTGAAGAAGAATCTATCAAGTAAATTGAGTTTGTTTACTATAATCTGTATATGTTAAAATAAAAGTAGGAGTAGATTATTAAACTACAGGTAAAGTAGTATGGTTTGACGTTTTAACTGAGATTTTCTTACTAAAGTTTCGTGATTACGTCATCTTGATATGATTTTATTTGATACGACCCCTGTAACTTTTTTATTATTGAAGATAAACCTGTAGTTCTTTGAGCGAATTTGTATCGTTTTAAAAGATCAATGTGATGACAACCTCACATTTTTATTATCACTTCGGGTAGAAGCGGAAATGACGTCAACTTTATTTTTGTTTTATGGAACACAAGGTATATTTTAATACTTAAAAAGTTAATCAATAGAATAGACGAAAAGTTCATATTTGTTGATGATAATCTAGTAGCTTGAAAAATTGACACTCATGTCATTTATTCACATAAGTGATCTTTTAAAATGATACAAATTTGCTCGAAGAACTCTATCTTTATCTTTAAAAATAAAAAAATACAGGGGTTGTATCATATAAAACAAACACGTGGTATATTCTTGCATTTGTGGTTTATGAATCCGTGTTAAGTTTTTACCATACACATCCAGATGTTTGTATAAAAATCAAAATTGGAAAATCGAAAAAGCGGAAAATCGACTGGTTCGAAATCTCGCAAACTTTTTAAAGTTATCGTAAGCATGGTAATTCGATAAACTTTATTTTTCCTCTCTCCCCAAAATGACCTCATCGCCAAATTTTGCCCAATACATCCCATGTCACAAAAAAAAAATCGCAAAATGAAATTTTATCATTTGTATAATTTTGTTTTTTTTTTCCAATAACCCGCACACATAAGATGAAAAATAGAGGCAGTTTAATAAATCACAGGTAGAGATGCATATTATTTTGCACATTTTAAATAGGATTTATTAAGCAAAGTTTTGAGAAGAACTGAAAAATCGAAAACTTAAGAACTTGAGAAATCGAAAAATTTAGAATTGTTAAAAATAATTGACACTTGAAAAACTGAAAAATCGAAAGATTGAAAAGTCGGGAAATCGAGAAATAGAAAAATAAAAAAAAAAAAGATTAATAGAGAAATTGAGGAATTGAAAAATTGGAAATTTAGAAATGTTAAAAATTGAAAACTTGAACAATCGTACAACTGAAACATTGGAAAACTTCGAAATCAAAAAATGAAAAAACAGTCGAAACAATGAAAAATCTGGACACTAAAATATAGAAAAATTGAAAAGTTAAAAATATTGAAATGTTGGAAAATTGAGAAATCGAAAACTTGAAAAATGGAGAAATCTAAAAATCGAAAAGTGAAAAAATGTTAAAAATCGAAAGACCGAGATGTCAAGAAATGAAATCGAAACATCAAAAAATTGATTCTTTTTAACTAAAAAATCCCAAAACTAAAATATCGAAAAATTGAAGAAGAAAAATTGAAAAATCGAAACATTGAAAAATCCGAACACTAAAACAAATATATTTAGAAAAACTAAAAACCATGAAATTGAAAAATTGAAGAATCGAAAAGTCGAAAAATCTAAAATTGGAAAAATTGTCTAAAATTTTGATTTTTTGTTTGAAGAAATCTAGAGTCTAGGATGAAAATTCAACACTGATTCATAAACTACAAGTTCAGGACTACGTTACGTTTTAACATTTAAATAATATTTATTCGATAAAATTGTAAGATGGCGTTCCTGGTAGGTCATGAACGGATAAATTTTGATTAACAATTATGCTTCCGGTAACCTTAAAACGTTTGTAACATTTCAAAGCATTCGATTTTGCAATTTTAAAGTTAAATTGTAAAATGTTATACAATATTCGACTCGGATTCATGCACCACAAATGGAGGAGTACATTAACAAATTTTGCTTTTACGTTTACACGATATTCCCAAAATACGTCTTAAATTGCCGACTCTTGTATTTTTCTTTTGAAGGAATTTGAAAAATTTTTGGGAACTCCTGGTGTTTTGTTTTATAAATAGTTTTAAAGAATCTCGGGGATCCTTGGTGTTTTGTTACTTCCCGAGCGTAAGCTAAGGCAGTATTGTACTAAGGTCCATCAGAGGAATTGTCACTTTCCTGAACCTAGAGTATGAAAAAACTGGTCTCCCGTTTCCATCGGTCTTTATTAGACATGTAATTTTCGAAACTACTGGACCGAGCGTTGTAAAATTTTTTATGTATATAATGAATAGCAGGTGGAATATGTAGGTGGTAAACCGTTAACCTAATCATCCCCACAACTAATGGGATCATCTCCAATATTTACAATAGTAAATGTTATTTAAATTTTATAAAATAATATACTCCTACACTTATGGTTTATGAATCCATGGTGTTTTCCTTAGACATCCATATTTTTCGAAAAAAAAAAATCAAAATTGTTTTACGATATATTTTTGAATGAATTGAAAGGATATTGAGGGACCTTTCGTGTTTTGCCTTTTAAAAAAAAATGAAATTTTGAAAGAATTTCGGGGTCCAATTTGTATTTTCTTTTTAAAAATAAGGTGGTGCAGCTCGCTTCGCTCGCTAATAGAATCTGGGACATATTGGATAAGCGAGATTTTATTAGTAATATTTTGAAACGATGTCAAAATTTTGGTAACAACGATCAGATACATTTTGGTCATCGCCATATACACTCTATTCGTAAAATACATGTAAAATTTCACGACAATCGGTTCAATAGTTTCGGAGAATATTTTATAAAATCGCTACAAAGAGATAGAAACGGGAGACCTTATTTTTGATATTCTAGGAGATATGAAACATCATGAAAGAATGAAATTAACCATTCGCTTACAACAATACTTCTCCAGCGGTGCAATCAAATTATTTACACCGAACTTCCCTGTCCTCTTAAGTAATGCCACGTGTATTTTTCTATAAAACAAAAATAATCGAGATGGCATAACTTTTTTACATATAAATATATACATCAATTTTGATATGTACAATCTTACGGTAATCATAACAACACTGAACCGTTCAATGTGTCATGACCCCTAGAGTACAAGTTTCCGTTTGTCTGTCTGTGTCGATTTTTATTAAACAGATAACCTCCCGAAATTACTGGGTTGATTATTATTAAATTTTTGATGTATGTTAGAAATTTTGCTGAATAAATCCTCTCTGAAATATGCAAAATATGACTCTATACCTGTGGTTTATCAATGAAGTCACAGTTTTCAGAATTAGCTATACAGGGTGACAAAAAAATTAATAAATGAAACAATTTATTGGACTGAGTAAATCAAGACCCACTGACTCCATTTTCCCAATAATTTGGGAATACAGTTATTGTTATTATTGATCTACTTGTCCTTGCAAAAATGTTGATGACCCATTACAAAATTTTCTCATGGAAAAACTCACTTGAAAAAAACGCGTAGCACGTTTCCTTACATTGACTTTAACATTACATACATATCTTTATTTTAACCAGGTATAAGAGTTATCATAAAAAAAAATTGGTCTGCGACAGACCTTTCTTGCTCTTGAAGTACAGTCCAACGAATTCCGCTTCTTTGAAAAAATGTAAAAAATGTTTGTTTTTTATACAGGGCCTCTAGAATGTATGTATTATTATTATTTATATTAAATAAAGACGGGCGTATTGCCACGTTTTCAAAAAAGTGGGGTAATTTCATCCAAATAAAAATTGCTGTGCCGTCATAAATGCACACTGTGAGAGAAAAAAAGAAAAAAAAAACGAAAAGCCAATGGGCCACGACCGGTTTGCTTTACGCTAATGGTAAACTAATATTATACCATGCATTATGTTTTTGCAAAAAGCGGATTCGTAAACCACACTTATAGGAGTATATTGTTGTATAACAGTTAAAGCAAATAAACAGAACATTTTGAAATTACGTCATCAAATTGTTGGTGGGGATGATTAGCAAAATTTTGGTTAGCATTTAATCGTCTACATGGTACTATATCTACAAAATTTGACAACAATCGGTCCAGCAGTTTCAGACTTATGTGTCTAATAAAAATGGATACAGACAGACAGACGGACGGAAACGGGCGAGTACTTTTTCGTATTGTAGGGGTCATTAAACTTCGAGAAAATATAAAAGTGGCCATTTGTCCGATGAACTCGATTACTATACCTATTTCCTTAGCTTACGCTAGGGAAATAACAATAAAATTCCCAAAGCCAAATCTTATAATTTTTTGAAAACTCTGCATTTATTTTACTGTACTTCAGGGGCGAGGGAAGTTCTATGGAAATAAACTTAGTCTAATTTTTAAATTGTAAATATTTATAGACATTTCATCATGATGCATATTTTTTAATAAACACGTATTTAATAATTTTTCGGCATTAACTTTCAGATGTGATGAATAAATACATTATTGTAGTCTATCCTTTGTAATAATTAAATTAATTTAATGAAATTGTGTCGTGCTATAAAATAAATAATTTAAAATTTTAATTACATGAATTGCAAAAAAAAAAAACGATAAAAATATCAACGACCTCTAGACAGTAATATGACTCAACATCGTAATATGAAAAAAAAAGAGAATTTTCGTTTGATAAATTATTAACTTTGTATTCGATACAATGATTTCGATTATTGGTCATAAATCTTATTATTGTGAAGATTTCCGCCCTTAACACATTTTTAATTAATTTGCACTCTATTTTAATTGCGTTTAACTGATTAATTTAATTTAAAACATTTAATAAACTTACTGTAGTATGATTTATCTTTAATGTAAGTAGATTTACTTATACTATTTTGTTATTTCCAGGGTAAAATTTGTTCACACCCGTTACGCGTCCATTCAACGTTCAATGATCCAATGATCATCGAAGAAATAATAAGTTTACCACCTGATATCCGCTTAAGCAGTAAACATTCGGGCCATATTTTAGCCCGAGCAACCAAAGTCATCGGCCATTTGTACCTCGACCCTACTTTAGGCTGTGGAAACGAATGTTACACAGGACTGCAACACGACACAACAGGTACAGATGGGGCCATTAATAATGACCATCTCCCGCGGTCATGGTCCTAGTTATGAACTGCCGAAAGTACCCGAGCCCTTGGAGATTGCTGAATTTCGTCTGTGTTTGCCTCTCTCGAACGGTTCGGGTACTTTCGGTAGTGTATAGCTAGGACCATGGCCGCGGGAAGCGGTCATTATTAATGGCACCATCTGTACTATCCCTCCTCTCAATCGCTAAAACCTTCAAAACTTGTGTTATAGCGCAATGGCTGAAAACTCTAAGTCTATCGAAGTCCGTCTCCGACTTCGATTTAAATCTAGTCAACGTCTTCTACAACAGATATCTTAATTTTACCGCCAACGGCTTGAAACGTTGGCAAAACTTAACCCTAAGACTCGACACGTCTGAAGTGAGGGGTCACACTTTCAAGACGAGAGTCAAGATGAGCTGGCCTAGTCTCATAGTCGAACAGAATCTCGAAAACAAGTCCGTTTTCACGTTTCCGTTAACACAGATCGGGAACATTTCGTATAGAAACATCACCATACGTAATCCGTCGAGCTACAATCTTGTTGTGCAGATAGTCATGGATAGGAACTATCCAGACTTGCAGTTGATGCATGAAGGACTACCTTCGAATTTTATCCCCAGTGCGACCCAAGAGCTGAAAGACATAGAACACAGATTCTTTTTTCACGAAAGCTTGAAAAGACACTACGCCGAACTCTCGGACAGTTTGAATTTAAAAATTCACGAGGAGTCGGTGCCGGTGCTGCTCGCTCCCGGCGAGAATTTCACTTTCGTCGTGGGTTTCAGGAGCGAGGACACGATACCCAATTCAGCTCTGATTTTCATCAGGAACAATCTCACGATTTTGGAAGTAGTGCGATTGAACGCCCAAGGGGCCCATCCGCTTTTTAAGTTCGGTAATCGCAAGCCCGGTTCGTTGCAGCCGCTCACTTTCGAATTGACCGAGAAGCACCTGAAAGACTGCGAAAGGGAAAAACAGTATAAAAACCCGTCGCCGAATTTGAGCGTGAAGCGCTCTTTCACCGCCCGCAATATCGGTGACGTCACGATCTACATCAACAGTTTTTTCATCAACGACTTGCCGTGCGAAGGCTACGGGTTTAAAATACTCAACTGTGCCCCCTTTGTTTTGCATCCGAACGAGACGAAAAAAATCGATATAGCGTTTACGCCGGATTTAACGTTGTCGAGGGTGGTCCGGCTGCTGATTTTAGACACGAGTTTGAGCTATCCAGTGAACTATACGCTTTTTACCACAATACCGCCGTACTATCTCAGTCTGTGCTCGAGTTTGATCGTCAGGCCGACATGGGAGGTGTACTTAAGCTCGATTGCGTCGTGGTTTATGCTCGCTGTGGTGGTTTTCGTCGTGTTTTTCGCTGTGATGGACGCTGAAAGGATCAAGAAGCAGACTCTTGCTGCTTTGATGGCGCCCAACAGCTTGGCGCCGCAGCCGGTTCTGGATTTGAGGTTGGTAGGTCAGCAGACCAGGGCCGAGTTGCGGTCTAGTAAAATCGAGGAAAAGAAGGCCGAGGAAGTCAAAACGGAGAAGGTTCAGAGCGAACCGAGCAAAACGAAGCCGGAGGGTGAAAAGTACACGGCGATAATTCCGGCGACGGGAAAGAGCAAAAAGAAGCTCAGTAAGAAGAATAGTAACGAAATGCAGAGTGAGAGCGACGCACAAAAGAAACCAACCGAAGTACAAAATAAAAAGAAGTTCGTCGAAGTGAAGAGCGACGATAAGAAAGCGAATAGTATTAGCAAAGACCATAAAAAGACAGTTCCAGTTAAGAAAGTTACCAAAAATACTGTTGTACCTGTTTACGAAGAAGAAACTTCGTCCACTACGACTGATTGCAGCAGCAATAACGACGAAAACGACAAAGAAATTGACCAAAGAAACTCGAAAGTTTGCTCAAAGAAGCCTGGCAATAGCAAAAACGAGACAAACCACCAGGAGGAGCTTCCTACGGTCGAAGTAAAACCAGTGATTCACCAGAAAGTCGAACGTAAGCGATCAGGCCCGAAGCCGGCGCAGAAAAACAAAGACGGCGAAAATAAAACAGAAACGAAAACTTTTGAAAAGAAACCACACAAATCCAACAAAGAGAAAAAAGAGAAACAGCACTTGACAAAAAAACTGTCGTCGGAGAAAACTCCGTTCAAGAATAGCGAGAAGCGGGAGAGTCCTCCGGTTCGGGTGAGTCCCCCGATTACGTCGTCGCCGTCAGTCTGGGGGGAAAACAGGGCTACTTTCAGCGACGTGGTAGCCAGGAACGAAAGTGCGGTCAGTATTACCAACACTCGTCCACTTTCGCAAACCCAAACGACCAAACCCACCATGTACGTGGAACCTTATAAACAAACATCCACGGAACTCGGACCCATCGGGTCGCGGAGGATCGATTTCTGGCAGGAAAGCGACAGCTTGCCGGTCGAGGACCACTCCAACAGCTACTTCTCGAACTCGTACGAGTTGTCGGCGGATAGCAATTCGAATTTCCTGGATGATTTGGTTGTGAACACTGGCGAAACGTGGGGGCAAAATCACGCTCTGATGAATCCGTTGGATGGTTCGGAGAATAACTTGACGCAAGGTTGGTTGGTTGGTGATTTGGGACGAAGTATGAATTCTTTTTTTTTTTTTTTTAGATCCATGGAATCAGAATCTGGGGGGAGGCAACTCTGGCCTTCAGAATTTTTGGGATACGTTTTATTCAATAAACGACAGTTATTCTGTACAACAGTCGCCGATGGGGCAGCAAGCAGGGTACTTATGGGGGTCCTCTCCTGTGTGGGAGCCGTGGGCGCCCGCTGAATCGCCCAAGACGCCGACTCGAACGCCGCCAGGGTTCGATACTTTTGCTCAAAGGAAAAACGAGGAGGTAGGTTTATTTAGTTTGTAAAAATAAAAATACATTGTATTTCAGAACAGTAACCTATATTTTATCTAGTTGAAAAGAATTGTAATTCTGAAATTATAGTAGGAAAATTTTTGTATGCAAAACGAGTGCAAAACATGTTAGAAAGTCATTCACATTTTCTCCTCAACAGTTTATTTCCGCCAAAGTACGTTAATAGTACTTATCTATCGTCGTATAATAAAATTAGATCCTTTCCCACGTGAATGAACATAGGTTTCTTCTGGAAAAATACAGCAGGGTATTTTAAATTTTGTTTAACAAGCTGTCTTTCGTGTACTTTGTAAATGCGGTAAAATTCAAGTTTAATGAGATGTTGCATAATGTATAACTGCCTTGCTTTCGCTTAACCCAACGTTGTCTTGTTGCTTGTCAGAAATTAAAAGTGATTCTTGATTTCTATTCAAGCAAGGACATTTGTATCACATAGCGGATTAATTCTCCGCTACGCTCTGAACAATCAACTGGTGAGTCTGGAAAAATAGTAAAAAAAAATCCTTCTCACATTTTGGTGGAAATATAATGATTTTAAAATTGGTTCGCTACGTTTAACAACTAAACAACACATTCATTATCACACAATAACTCCACACGAAATGAGCCGGAGTGAATAAAAAATGAAATAAGTTGCACAAATATGAGAATGCTGAAAATCAAAAGTTTAAAGTCTTTAATCATCCGAGATAATATTTGCTTCTAAAGAAAAAGACTTGTTAATGTAAAATATTTAGTCTTTTTTAAACCATGCTCATGGTAACACTTTTATTATCTCTTTGTGCTTGGTTTGATTCAATTGTATTTTCTCTAGAACAAAGTACATGAAAATCTTAAATAATTATATGCCATATATAAAACACCTAAAATCCACTTACTATTAGTATTTTTAAGCGTTGGATATAAATCAGATTTTATGTCACGCCCGTGACTGTATTTTAATAAAAATTTATAGGGATGGTTTAAACCAATTCACCCGCAAGTTAAATATTGGTATACAAATTAAAAATCAGATTATCTAGCTATTGTGCTCATCAAATTATTTCTCGAATGAAAAAGCAGAAGCCCTAAAAAGTGCAACGGGTGTGACAAATTCGAACGTACAAAAGGTAAAATTAAATGAAATTAGACTGGATTCAAACATTTAAGGCGTTTATGGCTTCACACCAATTTGACTCCCAATATAATTCAATAGGCCGTGACAGCCGGATGTCTTCAACCCGCTCACCGATACCTACCTGAAAAGACCTTTTCTGGTAAAAGCACAGGGCAGGACTGAGTTTTGCATTTACCGACAACTGCGCGTTTCGATTTTTTTATTTTAGGTAAAAACAAAGTAACTTTTGTCTGTTATTTAAGTGTATTAAAAGTATGTTTGAGGCGTTATCCTGTTACTTTTCAACTTGATTTTGCATTGAAAGCATTTAAAATTGTACACGTGTGTCAATATGTCGAAGATAACTCAAATTAATTTATAGATTAAATCTTTTCCTGAATTTATTCTTCAAGAAGGCACTGTGTTTTGTAGCTTCTGCTACAAACCGCATTTCTATTTACAAATATATGTTTTCGGATCACCGGCAAAATTTTTTGCTACAATATTTCGAAAAGTATTTAAAAATAAATTGTTACAAAAATACTAATTAAATGGCCTATTATTATTATTTTTTATTTATTTGTCACTATTTAGTGTAAGACAATAATTTTAAAAAATTTTATTTATCTTTGTATTTTTTATGAAAAAAATTAAGCTCGATAAACCTGTTTTTATAATTTGTAAATAAATTTAGTTGTGTTATTACACTTCTTTTCAATTTTTGAAGCATATGCAACTGCATATCTCTGCATATATTAATAAAGTTACTGCATATTTGCATACATTTCATGCATATTACATGATCATATTTCTGAAAATTTTGCTGCATACGTTTTACTCTCTAGTCATGTATTATTTTTAATATAACAGCAATATGAATGTACCCTCCGGATTTGAAAAAAAGGACGGTGACATCGTCAAAATTATTTGATTTAAAAAACTTAGTGGACCAGTTTTCTATGATTGCGATCGTACTTATTAAAGATTTTATGTTTTTTGCTTTCAGTATCTTAATAATACTTTCAAATGTGCAGAATAATGATTAAATAATTAAGATACGGAAGACACGTTAAAAACAAAATTACTCTTAGTCCGGTCCTTCGCGTCTCGGCCGTCCCTGGCACGTGGCATGGTTTACATTTACTAAGTTTTATGAAAGGTCGGCTGTAAAGTACTTTAAACGTCAAAGCCATAAACGCCTTAAATGTTTGAGTCCAGGCTAACATTGAATCCAAAGTGCTCTTGCTGGTGAGTGCATTGTATGTATATGAAATCAAAAAAATATATATGCAGGGTGTTACTGAAATGCACGTATAAAAAAATTAGGAATGTTCTGTGAACTCTTAAGAATTAAACCTTGGTTTTCTAATCAAAATTATACAAAGGAAAATTGACCTCTATCTTTGCCTCTTGTACCCCGTTGGCAAATAAATAGTATAAACCGTTCAGGATGTTTTTAGACAAAGGTAGGCCATGTAAATCTAGTAATTTGGTTGCATTCAATTTCGTATATGTAAGGATCTTTACATATACAGAATTTCCATTCTTAGCAGGTACCACAAAATAACAAAAAGGAGTAAATAAAATAACTGAATAATGTCTACATCGCTTCTACACGCGTCTTGTACTTCAGGAGTTCCAGTTCATAGTACTCAAAATTTGAAATACATATTGTTTGTTTTTACAACTGTGTGAATAATACCCAAAAGGTACCCGTTCTTAGGTCAAAAATATTAAAATATTAAAACGTTAATAAAACCGTTCTTCTTGTGATATAATTTTATTTTATTATGCCAATTTTACTATATGTAATTTTTAATATTCAAGGTATGTAAGTCACACCCGTTGCAAATTTACGTCACACCCGTGACACTATTTAAAATGATGCAGTGTAAAATTACATGGGTTATTCCAAGTAATTTATGACCAAAAACTTTGAGGAACAGCAAAAATAGTTTTGAAATTCGCAGAAATAGTAAAGTTTTTCTTTAAAATATTACACTCAATTTTCTACGATCACACCCGTGACGCCATATATTGTTTTCTCTGTCTCTTACCCAGTATTGTATCTTGTCAATTTTTTTATAAATAATTCTTGACACTGTAATCTACATGCTACCAATGGTATTTGTTCTAAAATATCTCTGATTTACAACAAAAAATAAAAAATGTCCTCATTCTGTCACACCCGTGACATATGGATTTATTGCACAATAACTATATAGTAATAAAATTTTTAGTTAATATTTCTCTCGCCCAAGACCATGTTTAATTACCATTTCAGTGAGAATGTACAAACATATGGTTATTTTGTTTTTGTAATAATTTGATAAAATTACAAGGTACAAATCAGCAAAAATCGAGTAAGCAGTTAAAAATGTTTGACATATCAAAAATCGTCAAAGTTTTCAAAACCCTACATTTAATGTTCGCAGGTAATTTTAGGTCCCCGGGTGTTTTATTTTCGGATAAATTTAAAGGAATCTGGTGTTTTGTTGTTGGATGAAGTTGAAAAAATCCTTTGAGCTTTCAGTGTTTTATTTTTTACGAATTTGAAAAAGTCTTGAGTGCCGCAGTTTTTTTTTGTTTTTTTTTTTTAATTCGGGAGACTCTTGGATACCCATGGTGTATTATTTTGGGAGCTCGAGATTTTTTTTGTAAATTATTTAAATCAATTTTGAGAATTTTATTTCTGTTCTATTTTTGGAAAATTCTGACGTGACCTGTTTTTCAGTTAATTTTGGGACACCCCGTTTTTTTTTTTAAATCTTGAGGTTCTAGATATTCCTGTTTAGAAAGAATTTGAAACTGCTTTGGCGCCTCCAGTGTCTTTTCTTATAATAATTTAATTAAATTTCTTAGAAGATACGACATTTGTTAAAATCAGTCCACTAGCCCCACCCGCCCTCCCTCTCTTTTCTTGGAGGGTATCTCATTGGGCAAAATCAGTCTTATCTTAGCAGCCACTAGCCCCGCCCACCCACCCTCTCTTTTCTTAGAGGGTATGTCATCTGCCAAAAATAGTCGTATCTTAGCAGCGACTAGCCCCGCCCACCCACCCTCTCTTCTTAGAGGGTATGTCATTTACCAAAATCAGTCTTATCTTAGTAACTACTACCCCGCCCACCCGCCCTCTCTTTTCTTAGAAGGTATGTCATCTGCCAAAATCAGTTTTATCTTAGTAGCTACTAGCCCCACCCACCCGCTCTATCTTTTCTTGGAGAGTAGAGACCGTGCGTTTAGAGATAAGCACAGTGACTCATCAATGATGAGTCATCATCATCTGACAAGAAAAATTCCGCCACACGATTTTTAAATATTTTGTTTAGATTTGTCGGGTAAATTAAATACTGTTATTAATAGTTTTTCTTTATTTTTTAATTTATAAAATATGAATTTGACCCGTGAGTGTACTATTTAAAGTACATGAAAACAAAAACAATACGAATTACTACAAAATTTATTATATTATATGTAACAATATTTATAACAGCAATTAAGATGTGGTATTAAATTGATATATCCAATAGTTCTACGCCCTCGATTTCTGCGGACGCACGCCAATGGAGGATGTAACCACCGCTTAAATTTAAAAATAGACTTGACCCGACTCATTTTCGTCTGCTGCGCAAGTTCATGGGTACGCTTATCTCTAAACGCACATACTGTATCTCATTTGCTAAAATCAGTTTTATCTTAGTGGGTACTAGCCCCGCCCACCCGCCCTCTCTTTTATTAGAGGCTAAGTAATTTACCAAAGTCAGTTTTATTTTAGCAGGTACTAGTCCCGTCCACCCGCGCTGTTTCTAACGATTTTATTTCTGTTCAGGATGAGATCTAGCGTTTCATTCGGACTAGATAAAATGAATCACTGAAATGAAGGCCGGGTGGGTGGGTGGGGTTAATATTATGTCCTTTTTTAAGTGAGAATGGGAACTAATAAAATGTAGGCTGTTAAAAAAAGCACTAATTGTAGCAACTACTAGCCCCGCCCACCCACCCTCTATTTTCTTATAAGGTATGTCATTTGCCAAAATCAGTTTTAAGCTCCGTACATAACGAACTGAAGAGTTAATCCGACATTTTCCAGACACCCAGTATAATGATAAATCCCAAGTAACTATAGAATATTTTGCACATTTTCTGTAGGATTTATCCGTCAAAATTTTGAGAAGACGTCGTCAGTTTTTTAGAGGGAATAAACAGATACATTTTGATTACAAATTTACCATGTTTACGATAATTTTAAAATCTGCAAGATTAGTTTTTTTTTAATTGCATAATCACATTGTTAAAACTATTGCTATTGTTTATTAAATGTGGCACAAATAATATATTTTGGGTGCACGCCCCTTCGAACGAAGAATGGACTCGACCGAAATAAATTGGCACTATGCGCAGATCACGTGATGCCCCCTTTCCTTTTGCACCAAACTATACGTTATTTTATAAAATTTAAATAACATTTACTTTAGTAAATTTTGGAGATGGCGTCATCGCTTTGATGGTGGGGATGATCAGACAAATTTGATAACAATCGGCCCGGTAGTTTAGAAGATTTATTGGTCTAGTAAAAATAACACAGACACGGACAGACGACAGACAGACACACGGTAACGGAAGACCTATATTTTCGTATTCGAGGGGTTATGAAACGTCGAGAAAAGTAGCACTCGATTAGCTTACGCTCGGAAAGTAAAAATATGTACTTCTCTCCCATTGTTACATACTACTGAATGTGTCATTAAACTTGGTTTTTATATCATTAATCATGTCGTCACTAATAAGCCACATATTGACATTTGTTTCCTAACTATTTACAAAAGGTGAAAAGCATTGTAAAAAGTAACTTTTATAACGTGTTGCGTATATAATTTTTCTGTTTTCTTCTTGATATTACAAATGTTTTATTTATCTCGCTTCTGTCTCTTTGGACGCTTGGTGATAAAAAGAAATAATTCTCGTTCTTATTGCATAAACAATTCTTACGTAACCATTTATAAAATCAAACATACAATTGATAATGATAAAAGAAATTGGAACGCTTGTAAACCAACAACAATTTGTAATAAAATTATTTGTTTCAAAATATGATAAGGTAGATCTTACCCAATTACAACCTTTTTGTCTTTACCGTATTTTAAAAATTTTTGAAATTCGCATAGTAAAAAAAGTGCTCGATTTTTTAACCCGATAACCTTGAGACCGTTTCTTTAAATGCTATCAAGGTTATATAATTTTGGATGTTATTGTTTTTTTAAACTTTCATTTCTAATTTTAAAATTTTGTGATTTTCAACGTAACGTATATTAAATTTTTATTTTCGTGGTGTTCTGTTGACTTTGTCAAAAGTGTTAGTTTTTTAACTATTTAATGTGTCTTATCAACGTCTGCTTAATACTAATATTAGAGTTTGTCAAACAGTATTTATTTTTTCGTAGTTAATTATAAACATAATATTGGAGTGAAGCATATGCAAATGAAGCTGGCCATGGTCGATGACATACAGCTATAACATTTATAACATTGACCTAGGTCAAAATGGCTTTGCATGTATAATTTTGGTAATTAGAAAACAATCATATCATAACAGTGCAAAGCTGGACTGATCACCCTGTATATTTTATTAAATTTTTTTATTAAAAAATGAAGTGTATATTTTTCTTTCAGGTGCCTCCGCAGCAAAGAGAAGTTTACAATCCTTTCAGCACAAGTAATATTTGGACACAGCAACAGCCAAATCCATGGAATTATCAAGGACAGTGATTCAATGTTTCACACTTCTAGGGTTCGTTGATTTCGTCGTTTACGTTTTGGGCCATTTGCACTTAAATCACGTATTAATAACGTGGTTATTTCCATTGTGTTGTAAGACTGTGCGTAATTTAATAATACTCATTTGTTGTAGGAACCCTAGTACAAGTTTTTGCAGAAATTTTCGACTTTTGTGAATGTTCAATACTGTAATAATTTATTTATTGACTGTTCCTGACAGGTCTTCTAAGTAAATCTTGAGTTTCTTAAAAAAAGAAAAAAAAAAAATAATTGAATGTTGACACAGTTTGCGTTTTATTTCTTCTCAAGTGTTACGTTTGGACGATAGGACAAAATAACACAACGGGTGTTTAAAAAAATTTATTCCGCAAAATATTACCAATAAATTTGGAAAACGAATTATCCAAGCTGAATTTCCAAAAAGAAATAGAGCTGTTAACGGTTCATAACGTTTTATCGCCAACAATGTAATCGGTTTTCCAAACAAATTTAACAATTTAGACACAAAAAATAAATACAATTAAAAGCTGAATAGGAATACAAGGAAGAATAATGGGACAGTATAAAAGCAACCCAAAATTATTGTTGTTTACAATTTGCCTCCTTGGCCGCTTTGTCGTTATCCTTCTCATCACCAGAGTCGCTTTCCTCAGTGGTGTCTTCCAGATCATCATCGTCTTCATAATCATCATCCTCATCTTCTATTGCTTCTCCAGTATAAAACAAAACAGCGCGAGGAACAATCCTTTCCCTAATGTAGTGCCCAATCTCAAAATCGGTAGTTAACAACTGACGCAACTCGTCATCGATATCTTCCCCTTTCGCGTTTTCGGGAAGCTCAGGTGGGGCGAAAAAGTTGAAGAAGGAATCATTCTGGACAGTTTTCGTCACCGTGCGGACGACACCGCGACTCTTATGCTTCTGCTTTTTCTTAACGGTTTTCAGCGTCACATTCATTCCTTTGTTCCAGTTGATGGTGCAACCTTTGCACTTGAAGATCTCGGGGCCCTCAAAGTTGAAGGGGTCATCCTCCTCAGGTTCACATTTCATGAAGTATTCCTTCGTCAATACCGTGTTGGTGAAGTATTGGTTGGGGGAAAAGTGGAATGCGAGAGTGAAACTCTGTAAAAAATTGTCAAGTTGTGGTTTTTGAGGTTAGAGCGGATTGTGGATTGTTAACTTACCATGGGATTTTCTGAGCAATCGACCTTAATGTCCTGCAAATGGCTGAGGATGGGCTCGTCTGGGGGCTGAATCATCTCTGACAGGAGGTTGACGTTCTGGAAAATCGTCAACCAGAAGTTGGGGATGCCCAATGGATCGGGTTTATCGGTGTTGTTTTCTGGGTTCTTTGGGATGATTTCAGGCGTTTTGGTGGTCTCTTCGTCGATTTTCGCTTTATTTTTTAGTTGGTTGCCCAGGTTTTCGTCCTCGTCGTCCGAAGGCCATTGAGACTCCTCCTCCGTGGGCTCGTAGCCGCCCGTGACGATGGTGTGCCGCTTGTCGTACATTGGCACGTACAATTTGTGGTATTTACATTCCAAAGCGTGTACTTCAGCGAAGAATTTAGCCTCGATGTTGGTTGCCTCTAGTTGGAGTTTCTTCAGTGCTTTGATTCTTCGTTTAACTGCCGGCGGTACCTGGCCGAGCTTGTCGGCATTCCGTTGACTTTCGAGCGACGCTAGCACATTTGAGAAATCCATGAACTTGTTGGGAATCTTCTGTTCGGTCTCCTCTTCCTCCACCGACGAGTCTTCCAGCGATTCGTCAGGCTGCTCTGGTTTGGTGGTTGCCATTTTTCTGAAAGACAAGTTTTTGTTCAACTTTTTTCGGACCGCAAAAACGACTCAAACGTTCGAAATGAGGCACTCGGTTAATCAAACCCTCAATTGCGGCATCCGGACCGGAACCTCAACGGAATCTTGCTCTCGCAGCACGTGCAGATTCAACGGAAATACAGATGTCAAATTTTTTTTTACAAACGAAATAACAGAAAAGAAGCCGAAAATTGCGTCGCAGCCTACTCGGACCGGCGCCACGACTTCGGCCGTCTGATTAGTGCGACTTATGCAAATTTTCGGAAAACATGCAAACACGTTTTTTGCGCCTACACTCACCTTGCGCCGACTTTAAGATGGTGGCAACCCGAAGACGAGAGATTCCGGCAGTGGCAACAACAAGAAAGAGAAAAATTCACACGGCTACGTCGCTAACACAAACGAATTTCCTGCAGCTGCGCATCGTTCAAATTTTGGACCAATTAGATGTGGCAACGGGGGGCAAAAGTTCTTTGTTGTCAAGTACAGTCTGACAACGTACGACGTTAGCGTAGGTCGGTTTCGCGCCGTTTTTGGCGCGTAATGTTGGTTGCATACAAATTTAACGCAAGTGCCGACTTTCGAGAATTTTCGGAGCCCAAAAGGTCGGAGTAACTTCCAAGGAGACAACGCAAAAGTGCATTTTTAAAAAGTGTACATCGAACTGCATCTGCAGAAACGTATAAAGAAGAAGCCCCACAACTTGGTTGTTCAAAATCAAGACACGTGTTTTTAGATCTTGGTTACCAATGGCTGCCAACATAAAATTTAATTGGCCTGAAATAAACGAAAATATATTTTTTCTTTACCATCAAGTCAGATTTAAAAATATATTGGACTTGAAAAATTCTACATAGTATTATCTCTATACTGTCGTTACACTTTGAGTTGGCAACTTGTAAAACCCTTAAACAATGCATTCCATTTTTTATATGTTTTATTTGTTAAATATTTTATATTATTATTTTATGTACTTATTATTGTAATTTAAAATTTTTGTAAACAGTAGTTTTAGCAGAATTTTTTTAATACTTGATGTCTATGACATATCTATGTGAGAAACGTAGAATGTAGCTCTAACGCTAAAGAATAAACGAAAGTATATTAGTTTATTGCTATTGATAGAATTCTCGGCGATGTTGTCAAAAACGTACCCATTTTTGGAAGAAGTCTGTATGTGTATCTGCAAAATTTCCAGAAAGTTTCTTTTATTCAACATCTATTCGCGTGAAAATTCTATTTTTATTTATCAAAATTTCTCCACATCTCCCTATGAAGGTAAATTACTCCGAAAAAATCGACTTCTAAAATGCGAGCGTAGCGAGCACTTTAGGATGTTTCACAGACATTAGTGATCATAAACAATCTTTAATCTCCCTTTTTTGAATAACAACAAAATCGTTTTTAATAATTTAGCTTCTCAGGGATACCAATTTTTAATTTACACCTGAATGTGCTCGCTGCGCTCGCATTTTGAACTTCTTTTTTCAGCTTTATTCTCATCATAGAAGTCTGCAGGAAAGGGTCTCAGCGAAGTTGTTTGGAATAAATTTCTAGACTTTAAAAAGGCACGTTTAAATTGCTAGAGTTTCCACAATTTCACCAGATAGTCACAAATATTTTCAGCATTCACTTTTTCTAGACAGTAAAAAATTCTCTCATTAATAATTCAGGTTCTCGGGGACATTAACGACTATAAGTTTTAATAACACCTAAACATGTTTGCTACGCTCGCTGCTTAGTTTGTTTTATTATTATTCTATTGTGATAACTCAAACATCGCGCCTTAAATTGACATGCGAAAAAAAATTGAAAGCCCGCGAAAAATTCAAAATTTGGCCTTGGCTGTGATCGTCTGACAAAGTGGAACCCTACATTGTGTTTTTGAAAAACGGCGGGATGCGTTCAGATGCAAGTGATGCACTCCAAAACTGAAAAAGTATCGCTAAATAAAACATCAAATTTATAAAGGACACAAAATTATTTATTCCTCCATTGACAAAAAAAAAAGAAAAACTGCGACTGAGTTGTGCCGAGTGAGGACACCCCTTAATGCTCAGCTCCAAAAAAAACTTTGAATAACTTGGAATGAAATCACATTAAACGTTCTGAATCAATGCAAATATTTGAAAATCACAAGTTTAATAAAAAAAAAGCAAATTCTGAATTAAAGTAACTGGATGCAAATACACAAGTTATTATAAACGTGTGGCGGCAATTTTAAAATTATGGCAGTCAACAAGAGAACAAAATTTTAATTAAAAAAAAACTATCCAGCGGAGCGGCACCAGAGCGCTATAAGAGTGTGGCGATCGAACTATTTCAATTTCATTCTAGAGCACAGCAAAAATACCCATAGGGGGCGTTGTAGCGCGAGCGGAGTTTGGGGCTTCTGGTCGTGGCTGTTCTCCTACCCATGCCAAGTCGACAGCGTTACGTCATCTCGACCGCTCCTAAATTCTATTCTAACCTGCATCTTTTGTGCAGATGGCGCGATAAATTCCGCCAGCTCGACTAGGAACCGCGCACTCACCTTCCACCACGTGTTTCTGTGTTATTTAACCTCAATTCCATTTATAAATGTATGTTCAATTCTTATAACTCTGATATTAAACTACAACTGCACAAGTGTCAAAGTTTCAAAAATTCGCCATTGTGAAATTTTAAACAACAAATAATTCTTATTTGAGATTAAGATTGGACATCAGATAATAATTTATATGATGGAAATATTCAACAACAAAATGTTTAGATAAACAAAACTAGCAAGTTTATAAAAACAAAAGATCTGGTGTGAACTAAACTTGTGCGGATAAAATATTACGTGTGGTTAGAAACTGCAGAGCATGAAAGTTTACGTCCAATTTAAATTATACAACAAAGAAAATTACTGACGTTGAAATTATGATATAAAGAAAAATTACATGAGGTGGAAAATTGCAAAGCTAACAATTTTACATTAGATTAATATTTGCGACACTTTATCAACGATTCAAACAAAGAGTTTACCTGATGTTAAATTATGCCAATTTGTTTTGATGGTTTATATCGTGGACAATTTATCCCAAACAAAACGCATGATAAATAAATAAAAAATGCATCAGGCGTTACGAGGAAAGCGCCTCGGTTTGATGAGCGTTGCGAGAAACTATGTCTCGATGATACAGCTGTGCACGTTGCGAGATAAATGTCTCGGTCATATGATGATGATACGAGAAATATTTAATCCCCCGTCCACGATATTATGAATTTTGCTTCACTTTTCTACGATCTTTTTCCACAGTGGCGCAACGTTAGGTTAATTTAACTGCCGTAAATGAACTGTTAGCAATCTTGTGTGATGAATTAAGAAGTCCTGACTCAGCGAATTTCATGAAATCTCCTAGCAAGTATTTATCTAAACGAATCTAATGTTTGTTAAATTGTGTTAGCACCAGTTAACGATTAAAATCCTAACCTAATCTGTGAATTTTACAGACAATAGATCAAATTTACACGTGTTCGCGTCGGTCAAAAATTCACATTCATTATCGTTAAATAAAGGCTTCCTCCCTTTTTATTAACTACCAAACCAACTAAACTTAACGCATGTTGCACTCACAACAAGCAAAACAAAAGTGACGCCTTTCACCTTCCTCTACCAAGCGGCCGTCTTTTCTACCCACCAACCCTTTAACTAAAATTTCCTAGCAGAACGGCCAGCTACCCACAAAACGCCAACGTGCACATAGTTGCCTGTGTTTAACGATTTTTCTTGATTGATTTTTTTCTCAAATTCAAATTTCTCAAATGTGATTTCAGCGTTAAATTTTGATTCAGATTCGGTCACCACATTCCTGACTTTAAAAAAGCATGTTTAAATTGCTAGAGTTTTCACAATTTCGGCAGATAATCATAAATATTTTCGCATTCGCTTTTTTTAGACAATAAAAAATTCTCTCACTAATAATTCAGTTCTCGGGGACATTAAAGAGTAATTTTTAATAACATTTAGACGTGTGCTCCCTACTTTGTTATAATAATTCCATAGACGCTAAATTATTCTAAAAAAATCAACTTGAGGAGTACAAGTTCAGTAAGCACATGTAAATTGGCGGAGTTCCCTATATTTTTTCTTGAAGTGTTCATTTGCTAAAATCAGTCTCATCTTGATAGGTACTACCACCACCCACTCGCCCTTTATTTTTTTAAAGGATATGTCATTTGCCAAAGTCAGTGTATCTTAGCAAGTGCTAGCCCGCCCTTTATTTTCTTAGACGATTTCATTTGCTTTTTTTTTTCTCCGTACGTCGGTAGTGCAACACGTGTGCTGGTGTGCAGTCTGTGAATAGTGTTTGATTTCCGATTTCTACCCCTGTGGGGATGGTAGTGTTGAAGCTGTCATCTTGGTTTGCATAATCTCTAGTTATTTAGTTTTGTTTGTTTTGTATCTTTTTTTACTATTAATTGTATTTGATCACTATCACTGGGTTTGTACTAACCTTCCTGATATTTTCTTTTGCACGGCCTCCGTTGGAGGTTGTGAATTTAGTTTCTTATTTATAGTGCGCATTAATTATGACTATCAAATGCAGTAAAATCATGTAATCAGTGTAAACATTACTATCACCTAAGATGTGATAAATCTGGTAATAGTAAGTTATTCTCGTTGGTGATGTCTTTTCTGAACTTTTCTGAACTCAATCAATATAATAATATTGCGCATAATAATAAGAGATATCTTGACCTGGTTCTGTCTAACTTTCATTGTTTCGTTAGCTCTTGCTAAGATCCTCTTCTGGAAGAGGATTTTAATCACCCAACGTTGTTAGCTTCTTTCAAACATCGTGAATCTAAAGTTAAAACCATTAACGGTCATCCCTCCATGTAGCGTTGGAACTTTCGTAGAGCGGATGTTACTGGGTTGTATGAGCATTTAATACGTATTGATTGGTCTTTTCTTGAGGGCATCACTGATGTTAACTTGGCATGTTCCTGTTTTTATAATAAATTAAACAGCATTTTAGATGTACATGTTCCCAAGTCTCGTCTCTTTCGTTTTAGCTCGTATCCACCTTGGTTATCCTATGACATTAGAATTTAAACAACAAGTTGATGTGGTGTACACTGACTTTTCGAAGGCGTTTGACAGAATTGATCATTCTATCTTATTGTATTTAACAGAGAGAATGCAATGTGTTAAGTACGTCGGCTACATTTCCGACAAAATTCCTGTCTTATCTGGCGTCCCACAAGGTTCTGTCTTAGGACCACTCTTTTTGCCAAATTTATTAATGATGTAGTAAAAAGAATCCGTTCTGAAGTGTTATTGCTTGCTGATGATCTAAAAATTTATATTACGTATTCACTCCTCGTCGTAAAGTACTGAAATACTCTCCCATTAGCAAGATATGCAACAACTACCACTAGTTTTGTGATACCTTCGAGCTGTTTTAATGTTCACTTGCTAGCTGACTAATTTACCTTTAGGGTACGACAGTAATTTACCTAGCTGTGCTGAATTAGCTGCTGGTGTATATATATTAGTTTGATTAATAATTGGACTGTAAATGGGTCATATACCTACCTGTTGTCCAATTTCTAATAATAATAATAATGATAATAAAGAAATGAATGTATTGATAAGCCAAGAATGTAGGTCCACAGAATTTGATACACTGAAATAGGATTTGTTTCTTGTTTTTTTTTTTATTTTTCGGATTTACTGAATATGAGTTTCTTGGGTTTTTAAAATTTTTGGTTTTCTTAAATTCTTTGTTTTTAATTTTTTTTCTTGAGTTGAGGAGAACTTGGGTTTCCTGTACTTTTTGAAGTTTCTGGATTTTTCGGACTTTTTTTGAATATTTGGATTTTTTATTTTGCCTTTTACCAGATATTGTGGTTTCAATAGAGATGTACCGACTAGTGTCGGCCGACTAGTCGGCTTTGTCAAAACCGGTTAAAATTGGTTTAATCGACCGAAGATTGGTGTCAAAGTGTAGATAATCTTCGGCTAGTTACGATTCTGAAATCGCTGTCACGATATCTGGTCCAATAAACACGCAAAGCGAATTCAAAATTTCCAAAAATTTTCCAAAAAAGTGGTTAAAATTGGTTAAGTAATGTATAAACTGCCCTAAACTGTGTTATTCTTTATTTTTGTACTGAGTTACTACAAAAAATTAAATGTTAAAATTATCCAAACAAATTTAACACATTTTTGGGAAAACAAAGAAACTTTAGTTATTTCTTTTATTAAAATAAAACAAGTTTTTAAGGTAGTCACTAGTCAGAGAAATTGAAAAAAAAAACACACTGTCCGTTGCATTTATAAACCGGTTTTGACAAAGCCGACTAGTCGGTACATCTCTAGGTTTCAATAATAAAAATACCTAAACGATAGTTGGTTTCCAGCCAATTGTGTTTTATGTTGAAGTTACTATGGCAACTATTCTTAATGCCCAAGGGTATTATCTGGTCAATAACGTACCTCAAATCCATTATAGACAAATAATAAAATGGTAAGACAGAAAGTAATTAATACTCAAAAGTATTTAGCTATAAAAAATGTACATATATCTACAACACCAAACTTTGATGATATGATTTAAATTCAAAAGAAAAACCTACAAACTCAACTTACGCCCTTGGCACAGAGCTTTCAAAGTGGTTGTCTGTTGACCAAATCAGAAATTTATTAAGGCTGCGTTTTGTTTGCTTTCGTTATGTTTATATTATGTTGGTAATTGCCCCCAGCTATGAAATTAGACAAGTTTCTCTTTCAAGTTTGAATATTTATTTATGCTATGTCAAACAGAATTAAAATTATTCCAGTTATCTCTAGTTTTAAAAAACAGTGCTCTTAATTGAAGCACTTCTAACAGTATAAATATATAACACCAGAAATGTAAATTCAACATCTGTGTTTAACATCTTCTTTGACGCATCTAAGTGTATTGTTGACTGCATTTTTCGCATTCCCTTGATGGTTATAAAAAGCCACACATTCTTAAAGTTTTATTGAACACATTCATCTTAAAATAGTACTTAATACAATTAAAACCACTACAAATTTATTGGCTGATGTAGTTGCAGTCTGATAAAAATTTCCTGCCTTAACTTTTTACACATGATCATTCTGGATAAAAACACAATATGAAGACACTGTTCCCACCACTTCAGAAATGTACTTATCCGTATTTAAATCTTTCTGATTACCTGTATCAATGTGAAGTTCATATGTTGGCCCATAGTTAGTAAAAAACTGCAAAAATTTCACCTTTAATTTAACCGTTGTCACACAAATGGAAGAACTACCTCACTAGAGTCTGGTATGTCATTATCAATATCCTGTTCAACAATGATTGAAGTCAAATAAGTCCACAGTCTTGCAGTATTAGCAAAATTGTATCCACCTCCTCCACAAAAAAGAGTAGGTTTTCTGTATTCCAAGATTTTTTTAATACATTCACCAACTGACTTCAGTGTTAAGTTACTTTGTCCTATTTCATCACCATTTAAAGAGTCTGCTCCACACTGTACTACTAAAGCTTCAGGTTGAAATGCTTCCATAACTCTTGGTAAAACAGTAATAAAAAATTTGAGGAAAGTAGTGTCACTGACACCTTCCAACACAGGCACATTAATGCTATAATATTTTCCTTTGCAACTTCCACAATCTTCAAGCCTACCAGTCCCAGGGAAAAAACCTGGCATCAATTTATGAAATGACAAAGTCAGAATTTTTTTACTAAATTCAAAAGCGTTTTGAACGCCATCACCTAAAATTAAATATAAACAAACTATTTAATTAATTAACTAATCCTTACCATGATGTATATCCAGATCTACATATAAAATTTTATTAAAAGTTTCAGTTAATTTTTGAATAGCTAAAACAATATCATTTACATAACAAAAACCAGCTGCTGAATCTCTTTGGGCATGGTGCCAGCCACCAAACCAGTTTATAGCAACGTGGCATTTCCCTCTGGCTAAAATCTTAGCAGCTGTTAAAGAACCCCCAGCAAGGGTCTTCACAAAATCATAATGTTTATCAAGAATGGGACAGTCATATCCCAAACCAAATTCTTCCTGTTCATCTTCATACTTTTCAAATTCATCAGAGTCATTTATACGTTTCATAAAATCTATAAAATCGGAAGAATGGAAGAGTTTTAATTCTTCTTCAGTTGCATCTAAGCTTTGCACAATTAGGAGTTTCTTACTGGACATAATTTCATATGAACTGATTAAATCTTGCACCACTGATGCCTGAATATGGTGCAAATAATTTAACAACTACTTGTTTATTTACTACTTACTCTGTTCAGCATTGTTGGTATACGATCACATTGTTTTCGCAAATTATCGCTGTAAATGTACACGATTTTCTTCTGCTCTTCCATGGTCTCAGTTTTTATAATTAATATAATTTAATAACTATTAAAATGTGTGTCACCTCATTACGTTGTAATTAGGTGTAAATCGTTTAGTTTAATAAGAAATTCGTTGTTTCACTTTATGATCGCATTTAGGTTATGTTGACATGTTGCTAGGCGCGAAAATTGATTCAATTTGATTATAAACGTCAACCAATAAACATGCTCCAAATTAAGTTGGCAACTAGAAACGTCATTAACGTCAAAACAGTCGCCTAACCTCACAAGTGGGTGTCAGTTTGAAATTTCAAAAACAACATATGGAAAAACAAAATTTGCAAATTATGACAACATTATGGCCTTTATTTTATATAATGTTCGTAAGCGCCTTCACTACTTTGCCATTTTCGCTTTTGGCATAGCAGTTTTTTTATTTTTTTCGTGGCGTCACATTTGGAACCCACACGATTTCGACAATGGGCAAAAATGGGTGGAGGAAAACCCATTGCCACTTAAGTCTTCCAAGAAAACTTCAAGTACAAAACTGTTTAATTTAAATTTTCGATATATACTCAGTGCAGATTCTTGTTCGAATGATCTGCTGGCTGTGATTATTGTAACTTCACATTACAACAATGTGGAAACACGAAGTTCAATGCGAAGGGCGTTTTCGGGCGAAGAATTAGCAGCTGCCAAAATGAAGAGAGTGTTTCTTCTTGGGCAAACCGCAGACAGTGTGTACATGACACAAGCTTCCATTTTACACGAAAGTAAGAGATTTGGGGACATTATCCAGGGCAATTTTCAAGAAGCGTACAGAAATCTGACCTATAAGCACGTAATGGGGCTGAAATGGGTGAGTGAAAATTGTCAGTCTGCAAAATATGTGATAAAAATGGATGATGATATTGTGTTCAACATTCAGAGAATAATAGATTTGTTAAATGATGTACCCCTTCCAAAAAATTCGATCTCAGGGTATATTTTACGAGACCTGAAACCCATTCGCGAGCCCGCAAATAAGTGGTATGTAACTCAAGAGGAATATCAATTTTCCAAATACCCTTCGTTTGTTTCTGGGTGGTTTTATGTCACAACTCCCAAAATTGCATCAAAGCTGGTATTATTGTCTCATTATTTTAAGTATTTTTGGATTGATGATGTTTATGTCACTGGGGTTTTAACAAAAAATTTGAAAATAAAGTTGTACGAATTACGCAAATATTTTACTTTGTATGCAGAGTTTTTGCGATGTTGTATCTCTGGCGTGAAGAAGAGGTTAGAGTGTGATATTTTGGTGGGGCCAAATGGGGGCGACAACAATCTGTTTTATGAATTTAATGAAGCTATGAAAATTTGTGAGTTTGAGACTTGCAATAAGCGTCTGAGACCAATGAATGAGACTTGTGTTGCTGAGAAAAAAATTAATCTTAGGGGAGGGAGTGGAATCATTGAAAGTTACAAGCTCCACTAAATTTTAGAAAGCAATAAAAAATACGATCAAGGACAGCTAATTTCAAAGTTTGAGTTCATCAAAGACAAACTTTCAAAAATCCATGGCTGTCTTTCAGCGTGTTTTTTATTGCTCTCTCGATATATTCGTATCAATAATTGTTGGGTCGTAGACGGCCAGGAAACAAACGTATGATTCTACACATTTTTTACTTTCATAAGGAACTCAAAATGTGATAATTGTACACAAATTTTAAAATTTTAATATAGTAGTATAGTATAAAATTTTCAAACGTTATGTTATGTAATGAACGAGATATATATTATACCAGGTGAACGATATTGGCTGCAGTAAATCATGTGTTATCATTTAGGGCTCATTCACATCGAATGTAAATTTAAACGTAATTTGTTACAAAGACGATCTTGTTTACATTTAATATAAGACATAAGTGGGATTTATAAACTTGCTGTTGACGTTGAAGTTCTCGTTGCAGTTGCTCTTCCCGCTGACGTTGCTTTTAGAGGTGAAAATTATCATTTATAAACTCCGTTGTCAAGTTGCCGTATTTAAAGGGGTTGTAGAAGAAACGTGCAGGATTTAAGGTGATCACTACAAAAATTTACCATTTTAGACAAGTTTTAAGTTTCTTGTTGTCGAAATAAGTCTACACATATTAATAAAAAAAAGGCAAAATGTGGGCCCCACCCACCCGCCCTATCTCAATTGTGATGATTTTTTTATTCGTTGTGAGCCAAGAAGGCGGAGCGTAACTGCAAAATCCTTTATTTCTCTACGAAAAATTAAAATCATGTTTTTTAGTATCGTGTTGTTCAAAGAATACTATGTACATACATTAAGAAAAAAATAAAGGCAAAGATTAGGCGCCACCCATACCCGCTCCGATCTCAATTCTCGATTGTGATGAATTTTTCATTCGTTGTCAATCGAGGGGAGGGGCTTAATTGCAAAAACCATATTTGTTTATAAAAATTTACCATCTTAAACATGTTTTAAGTTTCTTGTTCTGAAAAGACTACTACGTATATTAAGAAAAGAGGTAAACATAAGCCCCGCCCACCCGCCCTAGCGGAATTTAATTGCAAAATCCCTATTATTTCTCTACAAGATATTACCATGTAAGACATGTTTTTGAGTATCGTGTTATTCAAAGAATACTATGTATATAAAGAAAAAATTAAAAGCAAAGATTTAAGCCCCACCCATACCTGCCCCGATCTAAATAGTAATGAAGTTTTCATTCGCTGGCAGACCTAGGGGCGGAGCCTAATTGCAAAATCCATATTCTCTTACAAAAATGTACGATTTTAAACGTGTTTTAAGTTTCTAAGAACAAAAAAATCATCACAATTGAGATGGGGTGGATGGGCGGTGTTTATATTTCGCCTTTTTTTTTTCTTAATGTACATAGTATTCTTTGAATAACACGATACTCAAAAACATGTTTTTAATTTCTTGTGAAGAAATAAGTATTTTGTAGTTAAGCTTTGTTCCCTTGGTTCACGGCGAATAAAAAAAATCGTCACAATTGAGATAGGGCGGATGGGTGGCTTTACATTTTGCCTTTTTGTTTTAATATGTGTAGACTTCTTTTCACAACATGAAACTTAAAAAATATTTAAAATGGAAAATTTATATAAGGATTTTGTAATTAGGCTCCTTGCAAAAATGTAACATTTTGACCAATGTAAGTCTCTTGCTGTGAAAAGAAGTATATTAAGAAAAAAAAAAAGACAAAATATAGGCCCCACCCACCCGCCCTATCGCAATTGTGATGATTTTTTTATTTGTCGTGACCCAAGGGGGCGGAGCTTAATTGCAAAATCCTTATTTCTATACAACAAATAAAAACATGTTTTGAGTATCGTGTTGTTCAAAGAATATTGTGTATATTAAGAATGGAGAACAGCAAGTTTATAAATCGACCTGTAAGTACTCTGGATTATTGTTTCAGTAAGGCCATACAAATAACGTTAGATTACATTCCTTTTCTTAATATTTAATTTTTTACAAAATAATTCTGTTCCTTGTTCTGCCGTCCACAGTTTTTTCAACATTCTTTTTTTTTAAGATTTTTTAAATTTGATTTATAATTCATGTGTCTTTAACATTGCATTAAATTTGATATTGTTTTTGATGCGCATGCTCAGTTAATGACAAACTGTCTTTCAGTAGTTAATTGAAGATGCGTATTTTTATGTAATATTAAAATAGGCGCTTAATTGAAATTAATTTTAGGGGTAAAAGAAAGATTTTTGTGCTAATTTAAAAAACTGTTAATATTTTGTTAAAAAGATGCTTTTTGTGAGTTAACTTTTTTAGGGGAAGAAAATTAACCTTATCTGTTTTCATACATTTTTTAAAGTGTTTTGTACATATTTGTTGTATTTTTTTATGTTTTAATTTATTAATAAACGATTTTGTAAGTTTTTGTTTTTTTCTTTAATGAAGATCAGCTTTATCGACCTAATTTGTGAAATCACTGAATCTCTATTTATTTACTATGACGATTGTGTAATACTACGACTATTATGTTTACCATGGTTCAGCGCTTCAAGTATCCGATGCTTGACGCTCAAGTTGAACTATTTTTTAAATGCCTTAATTAAGTAATTGTCTCATAGAACCACTGACGTAATATTTCACAACTCGTAACGACTACTGGAAGCACTAATAGAAATAAATTGTTAAATTAGGAACTAATATTTATTTAAAATCGACACACCAAACCTTTACTTTAAATGAAAGACAGTGGGACGAAAACCAGGAATATTTACAATCATTTCGAGAAAAAAACTGAAAATAGAAATCGTGAGGAGTGCTCATCTTTAAATCGATAGTTTAATTTTTTTGCCAAACCCATGCGATAGTATTTCACTTTTGTCATGGTGAATGGGAGATTCCACACAGAATATTCCCAGAGCAATACAGTACAAACATTTACTTGCGGTGAATGTAAACGGACATAAAATATCTTGAACTTGGTGAACAGGTATAGAGAAAATGCAGCGAAAAATTTTCTCTTCACAGTTGTATACAATTATAATAAAAATAGTTATGTTTCTGTTTAAATTTAGTAATGCCGCCAGTTTCGAGCTATCTCACTAAGTCAGTTTTTTTTAATATGACAAAAGTTTAATTAAATCACTATTTAGTTAGTTTTGAACGACATCCATATAAATGTATGATTCATCGCTCAAAGAACATTTTACAACAGACATTTATAAAAATTAGAAACGACTGGTAGTGGTATATGATTTTGCAAAAGGATATAAGTATTTTTAGTCTAAAGGTTGTAACAAATTTAGTTGGGTGGGACAACACTGTTATAATTTCTTTTAATAGCTGCATGGTTACTCGATGTTTCACTCATTCAGAAAGTTCAAGGAAAAACGTAGGTAATTTTAATGGAATTGTAATATAAAGCTATAGAGTAGTGTTTTGAACTTAAGTAAAATGTAACAATTCTTGTCATGTGTTACTTCACCAACATCTTTCCTTTGGAAGTACAAGGCTATAGTGAGGTTTTAAGTAACATACGATGTCACATTTTATGTCATTGAAAAGAGTAAGTTTACGACCAAATAACAGTCTAGTCAAAGTGAATAGACTGTATTTTCCTTTATCGATTATTATTCCTTGCGGACGTCACTAGTGTTCACTAAAATTGCGTTTTCCCTAGAAAATTAAAAAGGAAACAACAGATTTAGATTTTTTAATTCACCGATAAACATTTTTTGACTTATTTACTTAAGGTCCGGTTTCCTTGACGCTGCCAACTGCAAACGCGTAACTATCTGGTTTCGTGAGTCACCCTTTTTTTTATGCAATTTTTTGTTTTAAATGAAGTATACCTAATAATTTTGTCAAATAGAAATTTAAGGTACTTTAACAATTAAGTGACTCTTCTTTGTAAATGTAAATTTTAATTTTACATAATGACAGATAGTGAGGAAATAGCACCCAAGGGTGCTGTCAATGGTAAAGTAAAAAATTTAATTCATTTTAGTTGCGTAAACATCACAACAAAGTCGGTAGTTATGGAAGGTAATCAGCATAAGTGGTAATAAATAAATTGCCATTAATGTTAATACATTTTTTATTAAAAAAAAATGTTAGTACCTCACACTTTTCAGACCCAAATTATCTACTGTCCTTCAGCATTTTGGAATTTAAAAAATTACGAATTTCAATTTGATTCGACTACTCAATTACCCATAAACATTAAATATGAAGTAATTATAATAAATATTACATGTTTAGTTAAGATATCGATTTGCGCAATAATAGGGGCAATTCTGAATCGAAGTTGTTAAATTTAAAGGGTGTTAAATTGCAAATTTCCATAGTAACGAGTTAAATTCGTAAATCTGATTGGCTGTTTCTTTTTTAACAACCTTTAAATTTTAACGGGTTTGATTCAGAATTGGGCCTAATAAGTCGTTAAAAGTTTTTTTTTTATTTTTGACTACACTCTGAGCTCTTGATCCTGTTGTGTGTTTCGAATCGCGCTCATTTAACAAGTTTCATCACTGAACTATCTATTTCCGACTCAGACTCCATTGTCTACTTTCTCCGGACTTCCTTCAACCTTACGTCTAATTATACTAACGATTGACATATACAGATCGCTCGAGAAGCCACGTTAATTGTTCGAACTGCGCTTGATATTCTTCACGTTCCATAGGCTACTCAGTTGGAAATATAATCAAAAAACTGGTCGAAGATTACTTCGACAGAACTTCTCTCGCCCATAAAGTACAGCTTGTCAAATCCAGCTTTTTCGAAAAATTAAAAGATTTTGCGAGTTTTATTGTTTATTACAACATTTTGTGAAATATCAAGAAAATATGAAACTACCAAATTGTCTGATGAACTCCATTATTGTACGTCCTTAGCTTATCCTCGATAAGAAAAACAACTTGAAAATGTTTATCGGAAGAATGCCACGTAGGAATTAGTTCGATTTGAATGAGTTCGTCCCTTCAAAACATATTAAGTAGTAAGCTACAATCGAGAAAATGTTCTGAATATCACTAGTATTATTTAAGAATAATTATATATTAATAAGTTAAATAAAGACGTTTGTATTTTCATGTTTTCGGGAAAATGGACTGACTCTTTTTTAATTTAATCAATAAAAAATATGAATGTATTGATAAATCACAAGTAGAAACTGATAATATTTTGCACATTTTCGGTAGAATTTATTCGGCAAAATTTTGCCATAACGTCATCAATTTTTTGGGGGAATAAACAGATTTATTTTGATTAACAATTTACCATGCTTACAGTGACTTTAAAACGTCTGCAAGATTTCAAAGCATTCAGTTTTACAATTCTTGATTTATTCAATAAAATAAACTGACTGATTTATTAATTTTTTTGAATCACCCTGTATAAGCAAATCTAAAAAATATGAATGCAATGCTAAATCACAAGTACAGACTCATCATATTTTCTACATTTTAGATAGGATTTATGTGGCAAAATTTTGAGCCAACGTCATCAATTTTTTGGAGGAGATAAGTAAATATATTTTGATTAAAAATTTATCATGCTTAAAAACATCTGCAAGATTTCAAAGTATTCGGTTTTGCAGATTCAAAATTAAATTGCAAAATCCTTACTTCTACACGAGAAATTAAAAACATGTGTTTTAGTATCGTGTACAAATGTTTGCAAAAATTTACGATTTTAAACGTGTTTGGTTTCTAAGAATAAAAAAATTCATCACAAGGGAGATGGGGTGGGTGGGCGGGGTTTATATTTTGCCTTTCTTTCTTTATGTACATATATTCTTTGAACAACACGATACTCAAAAACATGTTTTAATTTCTTGAAAAGAATTAAGTATTTTGCAGTTAAGCGCCGCCCCCTTGGTTCACGGCGAATAAATAAAATCGTCAGGATTGAGATGGGGCGGGTGGGCGGGCTTACATTTTGCCTTTTTGTTTTAATATGTGTAGACTTCTTTTCACAACAAGAAACTTAAAACATGTTTAAAATGGAAATTTTGTAAAAAGAAATATCGATTTTGCAAAGATGTACCATTTTAACCATGTTTTAAGTCTCTTGATGTGAAAAGATAAGTATGTATACTAAAAAAAAAGGCAAAATATAAGCCCCGCCCACCCGCCCTATCTCAAATCTGATGATTTTTTTATTCGTCGTAAGCCGAGGGGCGGAGCTTAATTGTAAAATCCTTATTTTTCTACGAGAAATTACCATGTGAAATATGTTCTTAAGTATCGTGTTATACAAAGAAAACTGAATGTATTAATTAAAAAAGAAAACCAAAAGGGAAGCCCCACCCATCTGTCTTGGTCTCAATCGTGAATTTTTCATTCGTTGTCAGACCGAGGGGAGGAGCGTAATTCCAAAATCGATATTTCCCTATGCAAATTTACCATTTTAAACATGTTTTAAGTTTCTTGTTGTGAGCCAAGGGGACGGAGGTTAATTGCAAAATCCTTATTTCTCTACAAAAAATAAAAAACATGTTTTTGAGTATCGTGTTGTTCAAAGAATACTGATTCCTGATTAAATCAATAAAATAAATTCATGCATTCATTAATTTTTTTGAGTCACTCGGTAGAAGCAAATCCAACTCAAGTACAGACTCATCATATTTAGAGAGGATTTATTCGGCAAAATTTTGAGCTGACATGATGACAAGCCACATTTTTTTGCTTTTTGACTGGAAAAAAACGTATGTAAAGCAGAGTTCAAAACTTTAATCTCCTCTTAAGAAATTTAAGATAATTAATTCTAAAATATTTAGGTGACCTTGCAGCACAGTGCAAAAATATAAACAATTTGAAGTCTATTCAAGTGACATTTTCTGTAAGTAGGCTATCTATTAAAATAATAATAACAGTGAACTAAAAAATTATTCAAAATTGGTACTAGTTTTTTATACGAGCTAATGAAGTGAGAGTTAAAAGTTTGTAGTGAATTTTTTTCTGTATTTTTGAAAAACGTAAGTCAGTGCAAAATGAACTGAATTTTAGGAATGTTTAATTAAATTTTAAATCAGATGGTATTTTAATGTTTTTAAATATAACTTCTTCAGTACTAACAATTTAATTTTATATTTCATTCCAGAATTTTACACCATAAAAATCACAATTGTAGGTAAGTGTATAAATAAACTGATAATTTTTTAAAATTTGTTGTTGAGTCAAATTCACTCATTTTATTTTCCAACTCAAGTAAGTATTGTAATAGAGTGCATCCGGTAAATGGCTACTTTCGTATTTTTTCGACGTTTCATGACGAAAAATTATGTCTACCCTTTTTGCCCGTCTGTGTCCATTTTTATTATATAGATAATCTTCAGAATTACCGAAGCGATTGTTGTTGAATTTTATATGTGTTAGGAATATCATGTAGACGGTAAAACGCTAATCAAAACGTCTCTAATCGTCACCACCATTTAAATTTTATAAAATAACATATTCCTGTACTTGCGGTTTATGAATCCGTCTTGAGGTTTCTCCAAAGCATCCAAATTTTCGTGTGTGTGCAAAGTTACTAAAATGTTGTTCAAATTAAAGTTTATTCAAAATTTCCAGAAAAAAGTGAGACCAAAGTGAGGAGATGGTGAAATATGGATTACACTTTGTCTATTCACTTCATCGAAAAAGTGATGACATCCTCTCAAAATATTGCTAAGTAAATACCGACTGCAATGTACAGATCACTTGATCTTCTACTTGTGAGCTTGTTTTAAAATTTAGTCATAAGTTTTGACCTCAAAAATGTGGTTGAACTAAAGCAGTTTCTAATTTGTGGTAGAGATTACATACATATCAATATTCTTCTAAATTTTGGTAGAATATTAATAAGAAATTTCAGGCTGTCAATTAAATAAAAAAATCTCTGCTGTAAAAATTTCTAATGCTTGTTTGCGCTTCAGTAATATACTGTTTGTTTGAAGTACCGCAACAATTTATTTTTTCATTACTATCCGATAGAGCAATTTAATTAACGAAAATAAATTGCCAAGAAAGCTGTTAAAAATTTACACTTTATGACAATAATTTGACGGCAAAAATCCACACAAATTAACCGCTGATACAATTATCATTCTTCTAATGGGAAATAGATACGTGAAACGTAATAAAATTAAATTCAGTGATTAAGACACAGAAGTGATTTATAGCATATAATCAAAATGAAAGTAAGTATTCTAAGTATGAGCTTTTTTTGATAAGTTTTGCGGAAGTGTCATTAGACACCTACAGTGACCGATGTACAGTCTGCGTGTCTGTCAAATCTTTGTTCTTGTTTATGTAACAATTTTTTCACGAACGACTTCCAATCATCATATTTTTACAAGAACTACTTATCATTCACGCCATGTTGCAACAACAAATCAAACTGTAACGTTCGTGTCGATGTTAAAAATGTCAGGAACTTGTTATCGTCTGATGTTCCTACCAGGCAATTGAAAAATCGTGCCATAGAATTCACCTCACGTAAATTAATGAACATCCGAGATTCAAAGACAACAAAATGGACACGAAGAGAAAAAATCAGCTTTCACTGACCGTGCTTTATAGCATACTTGATCGCCGGCTATCACACATTTAGCAACGCAAAAATCATCAAAGATTTACGCCTCTTTAATTGCTTGCAACTTTATGGCATTTCTTGTCCATTCCACGCCTTAAGCTAATAGTTGTTGATGTAACGCACTCATCACAACCCATGCTGCGAAATGGAATGGATGTTGACTAAGCAGTTAAAGCTAATGAAAAAATTGCGAGCAAATTAGAACAATACACTGTTGAAACGCTGCAAATTAACAGTTTTAATGCAAAAACCGGTAATCACGACCGGATGGAGAAAGTTTACTATTTTTTTCCACTTTAACCTTAGCCTTCATGATTTCAGAAACCTCAAGCATCTGGCACACGCTCACAAGAATATGCATTTAATTAGTCGGATATTATAATCCGCGATGAAAATTTGAATTAATACGATTTTTTAATTTTAATGTGACAGAATGTGCTTAACGTTCGGTTTTTAATCTTTGTGTGTTTACTGCGAAAACGAGAAATTTTGGAAATTTCCAAGATTTCTAATATGTCACTGACCACCTCTCGGATCCTTATTAGTTGCAATAGGCTCAGTAATTGCTTCAATTACCACTTTGGCTTTCACAAATATCGGTTAAATTCACTTAACACCACACGTGCTATACTCTCTTTCTTAACTTAAAAACTATTCATTTTTCCGTATTCGGGTCTCCTGAATGTCCGCACAAGCTGGACGTTATAAAAACTGATAAATGCATATATCGGTTATACAACAAAGTGCATTAATTGTTATGTAAATAATATGAAAGTCCAGTCGTGTTTTTACTATTCGACATAAACGCAAAATTATGGGTTGGTAAGTTGTGACAATAATGTTGAGGCTACAGTGTTGCACTCGCGGATGCACAACTCTTCAATCCGGAAGGAAGGGATGTTGTCTGGTATTCTTCTTGTCTGTTTTGGTGTGAGTATATAACCGGAGGAATCCGGAGGTTGCACGCTAGTCTGTTGAAGAAATCGAAGGTTGGTGGGTTGTTGGTTTAGTGGAGTGAGAATGAAGTTCATTGCAGTGGTAAGTGGTCGGTGATCTATTTGACGTTGCGTGGAGGTTAACACTGGAGTTATGACCGCTATAAAATGACTGAGATTCTTAACAATGCAGTTCCACAGGAATGCGGAACTCTAAATCTACATTATTATTTTTTACTGACCGAAACTCTTTGTTTCAATGATTGGATAGTTAGATAATAAAAATAATAATATAATAATATAAGTCACAAAATTTTACCTTGAATTAAGCAAGTACGAAAAATGTTAAAAATGTACTTAATGTACGTATTACTTTTTTAATATGAAATGTCATGCATACTTAGTAATTAATTTTAATGGTACAAAAAATTCAAACGATTTTAAGAGTAATTTTATTTTCATGTTACTAGCGATCTATACACAGTTCATTTTGTCTTTTTTTTGGAATCGCGGTTTTAGAATCCATTACGATTATTAACATTTAACTCCAAGAATTAATACGAAATTTTCTACAAATAAAGTCATTGATGCTATTGTTTAATGAATCTTGTTTAATGATCTCGTAATCATTAAAATACGGAGGTCAACTAAATTAGGGAAAAAGTATATTTTAAATACGTTTTTAACAGTTTTGCAAATATCTTCAAAATGCTAAATGTTTGCAGTTTAAAAATTTTAAATACCTATATCTTTATTGTTTCATTTTTGTTTTTGGAAATAAAAAGTTTGTTAACTGTCATTTTTAGTATAATACTTATAAGCTGTTCTGTCGAGTGGGAGTGGAAACTAATAATATAATCTAGGATGTAAAAGGATGTATGTAAAGTAAAAAAAATGCACCTATCCTGACTTCTCTATTGTTCCAAGTAAACAAATTTTAAACATTTGTGTAAATATATAAAAATCACAAAGTACATTCTTGAAACAATTGTATTTTTGTGAAACAATTTTTATCAACAAAATTTTTATAGCGAGCTATTTTGACGAAACTTTAAAAATTGGTATATTTCAGTTAGCGATTTTGGAAAAACATTAGGAATTTCCGAAAAAACGAAGCGAAAAATTACTTCTGGACGTCTTCAACTAATTTTCCGAAATAGTTGAAGAATGATCGAAACTGTCAAAAGTGCCAAAATCAGTCTTATCTTATCAAATAGTAGCCCCGCCCACCCACCCTCTATTTTCTTAGAGGGTATGTCATTTGCCAAAATCAGTCTTATCTTAGCAAGTACTAGCCCCGCCCACCCACCCTATATTTTCTTCGCGGGTATGTGACCTGCCAAAATCAGTCTTATCTTAGCAAGTATTAGCCCTGTGCACCCCTCCTCTTCTCATTCTAACGACTCATTTTATTTCTGTTTAGTAGAAGATTCAATTCATTCAGATCGAATAAAATCCCAGAAAAGGAGGCAGGGTGGGTGGGCGGGGCTAATTATATTCTTCTGTCAAGTGTACAGGATATAGTGTAATGTTTGTCCTGAAATATTTCGCAAAATCGCTTTTTTTATATGATTTTTCTCTCGATATTTTGGTGTGTCTGATAAAACAATTGAAAAATCGTAGAAACAATAAAAAAAAAAGTATACAGTATGTTCTATTTGTAAAAAAAGAGATAGGACCATTTGAAAATTATAATGATTTAGAATTTTTTTTAAATTACTGTACAGGGTGACTCACTAGGCGCGCCTTCCTCGATAGCTCATTAGTTATTAGAAATATAAAAAAGTCACAGACAAACGTTGTACAGTTCTTTGAGGACTATATTCTAAAATTAGTTTTATACAAAGTGTTCTGTTTTTAAGGTGTAACACACAACTCAGCTTTAAATGAAACACTATATAGTCTTACATATTTTGACCGACCTCTTTTTAGGCTTTACAACCACAGTTTATTTTTGAAATTCCGATGCGATGTTGCCACATTATATTCAGTTTTTTTTGAAAATTTTTAACAGTGGAAGAGTTCACAAAAAAAATGGCAGTAGGGTTATATTTAAAATCTGTATTACAGTATTTTGTGGTATAAATAAAATTAAATCTTGATATACACAGTGTTTATAAAGAAACGTTTAAATATTAAAATTTTCAGATATCGATATTTTCGTTTTTTCAAATACAACAGGTATTTTATAACCACATCTTATTATGTTATCTTTTGTTAAGTAATTTCTATACTTAAGGTTGATAGTTACTGGTATTTTTTATGAGAACAAAAAACAGAGTAAGTACAGTAATAAAATACAGTGGTATTGTATTTGAAAAAAATTGAAGAAAATTGGAATAACGTGACAACATCGCATTAGAATTTCAAAAATAAATTGCGGATGTAAATAAATTCTACGACTAACGAGAATATCTAAAAATATATAGGGTATTTATTCTCTTAAAAAAAAAGAGCTGCGCGTCGTTAATCAAAAATGAAATACCCTGTGTAGCTTAAAATACTTTTAGTGTATGTTACTCAACCAGGTGTGTAACTTTTTTTCTATCTCTAATAATTAATGAGACAGCGAGGACCGCGCGCTTAGTGACTCACCCTGTATATGAAGACTCAATTTTGTACTACAACAAAGCACATATTTTTAGTTATTTATTCATAAAATAAGTACTACAACGTAGATTATTAAAAAAAACATATCGTTGAACTTTTAAAAAATTTCAAGGGAACTGGAATAACAAAAGTATAACCAGGACATGTAAAATTTTACTAAAAAGAAAACTTATATTGTACAGTTGAAGATAATTTTAGGTTATGCACCCTAAAAATTGAACATAGTAACATTAAATAATATAGTTCTATACCTGTAGTTTATGAATCCGTGTTGAGTTTTTACCCGAGATATCCAGATTTTATGACCAATTTGTTTGTAATAACAAATGAAATATCGAGGAGCACCTATATATAGATATTCCGGAAAATAAATTTTTATTTTTTGATTGGCCACTTGTTTACGAGTGTAGTTTTTCAGTGATGATGTCACGTGCATTTTCAGCCAAAAAGTAATAGGTACATTTCAATTATATTTGTGTGTAATATTTTCTAATTTAAAAATTCTTCAAAAAAATGGTCAATAATAATTACTCATAGAATAGTTCATAACACCTAAATCTGCAATAATTGCTTTATAATTTACATATTTTTCAGAAAATTTGACATAAAAATGAGTTAGAAAATAAAAGAGGATATATATCGCTTTTTGTAAATGGGGATTTAGCTATTTTTGGCTCATTTCTTATTCGGAAACGTATCCTTTTGGGACGCTGCTGATTAACGATTCATTGTTATATGCAGATTTATGATTTCCCAAGTTTGCTTGGCAAACATACAACTGTATAAGTGGCACTTTATGATTACTCCTTTTTGAGCACTGCAGTATTGATTATGAGTCCTGTTGGAAATGCAAACGACCTTGTTGTAAATCATTTTTGAACGCCCGAAAGCGTGCCGACCCTGGACTGAATTCGTTTTCATATTTCATATTTCCCATTTCCGTCTGTCGGTCGTCTGGCGATTTTACAAAATAGATTATCTTAAACTGACGAAAGCAATTATTCTGTAGATACTGAAAAAAATACATGAAATTTGGGTGATTTTTTTAATAAAGCCGATATATTTTACTGATTCTTTCAAAAAATAGATTGCAAAGAAATATTACGTATACATATGCATGACATTAGAATATCAATCTGTGATCTAAATAATTTTAGCGGTGACATTTTTAATATGTGAGTTGCACAAGAAGATATCAAAGATTTTGCACCACCTACCTATAATCTCTTTGGCAACAGAATGAAGACATTTTGAAAGTCTGTCACATCTTGTGTCAAAAACATTTGTACCAAATATAGTCTACAAAAGTGTTTAATAACTTAACAATTCCTCGTTAGAAGAAACGGATTTAATTTAACCCAAACTTTCGACACCATCCGGAAATTTCAGACCATATGTAGAACGTACACGAAATCTCGAATCAGATTTATTTAACTTGCAAATTTCGTTACAAAACTGCATACCTCATAACTTTCGTATTTGTACTAATGGATACAAAACTTATTTAAATTAGTAAAGCAATAACAAACGTTTTGTATATTTTAGCATAATTTCTAGAGCACGGTTTGCTAATTGCGAAGCGAATTTATAATAATTACACAAAAGTCTGTCTTGTCAGACAACTTTTATGCAACTTGATAGAAACATCACAGAAATTGTTCGCCAGATCCAAACAGACCGCTTTAGAAAGCAGTGAGAACAAAATCTGCATATAAAGGAGAAGGCAAAGCAATATGACGCGCATTGAAATGGATGCAATTTACAAATTTTCGTAAAAGCAATAATTGAAAAGAGAAAATATGCAACGCTGTTGTGAATAGCAGACGAAGAAAAGTCGCTGTTCCAGTTTTAGCAGCCGGAAGACCATTCGTATTAGTATAAATAAATAATATAAAATCAATCACGGTGTGCAGTTCAATATTACCCGAATTTTGAAAGTACATATTTTAAAATTATGAAACAAATGACATCACGACAGTTACTGAAATGTATAAAACGTCCTACTTTTCGTCACTTATCACGAAAATCTTCCTACACTTCTTTAATCCCACCGGTACGTCACGCGTTTTACATTTTCCTGAAAGTAACTACATATTATGTAAATCTTAGAATAAACATGTGCCAATGAGTGATTTCATGAACACCTCCATATTCTGATGGAAACCGTATTAAGTAACTTAACATTGACACAGTAAACATGAAATTGCAATAAATTTTTCGTCTTAAAACGATTACTTTAATTATTGTGATTAATTTTGTACTTTAATTTCTCTTCACGGAGACGAATCATCTTCAGGATTTGCGTCAGAAGAAATAGCAGCACTTAGGCGCGAAGGAAATTACTTAATTGTTATGACGCTGTATTACGTAAAACAACAATGCGTTATTTTATTTACTCTCAAAGAGCGGCACATCGACAACTATTATTAAGTGCCCTGAAACGCAATTTTTACTAGTGAAAGTATAAAGTCGATCTTCAATAATTACAAGGCGTATTATAGTATCATTTCTATTGATCTTATTAACTGTGGAAATATCTTATGAGAAGCTCATTTTTAGGAGGGTTAGACTTGTTTATCTAGTATTTCTCACAATTTCTCTTATTATAAGAAATGACGACATTAATTGCTAGTGGATGATTAATTAGAAGTAGTTAAGAGTGAATATTGGTTTTTATTGTGCACGTATTTTCTTGTTCTTATGATTTTAATCATAATTTGCTTTCTATTCGCTATAAAATTAACCATAAAAAATTCAGGGTCTTGGTTTCAACATCAAATAATCATCTACATTTGTTTATAAATTTTAAATAATTTGTGAGAACTGATTGGGTAATGCGGAGTCATTTGTCCAACAGTGCTAATCACTTTTGGGAATGGGAGACACGTTTAGTATTGTGCATCACTACTTATAACCATAATTAAATTAATTAGTTATGTTTTGATATTTTACAGATTTTTTTTACATGTTCAGGCAATTTTTTCTTATTACTTTCTTCAAGGAAGCTTACTTATGATCTTCGCTGTAAAGATATGTTTTTAAGAGTATGTGAAAGCAAGATTTTAATTATTGTTTTTATAAGATTTTGTTGTTACTGAAAAGTCATATCCCTAGAGTAGGCAAAAATAGGTATCCCATTTCCATCAAAATTAAGTGAAAACTAAGTTACTTGTCAGCTTCTCATAGATATAATTATTTTTTTTTATTAATTACTGCGTGTTATAGATTTCAAACATAACCGTGACTACGTTTTAATGTACTAATACAGTCCTTGAGTAAGCAGTTAAGCAATTTTTTTATAAAACGTGTAACCTGGCCTAGAAATAGGTACTGTAATTAATTTTTCAATGATGTGTCAAAATTAAAACGATTTTTCAAAATTTGGACAAGTAAAATCTTCGACTAACGCAATTCAGTTATAGTTTTAAAATTTGTCGTAACCGACTGCGTTACATCTGTTAGTCATAAATTTTACTCTATATCAAAATATATCAAATTTCAAACCACTGTCTTACGTAATTTTAATCTTATAAGTAATAAAAAGCCAAAACATTTGATGCATGTGTAGATGCACGATCTACTTTAAGATTACAACGGCATAATGACGCCATTTATATAGTTTTTTCGGAGAAGTTAATGAAAGTGTTCGTGTTTTTTTTATGTTATCAAATACGTACCTGTTACTTTTAAACTATTTACAGCTTGGGGTGATCTATTGCCTACAGTTTGAATGTTATTTGGTTTGAACCTTCGCGAAATTACAGCATCAAGACGTAGTTTTGAAAAAAAAGTAACGGTCTCAAGTACTTTCACACATTAGGAAATATATCAACATTTTGTAATAAATAGTTCTAATAAATTAAGATCACCTTGGAGGTTTGACTGGTTGAAATGCTCTTATCATTCACTGTTTTCCTTATTGTGTTTTGAATAATCTCCACTTTCAGTTTGTTACATATTTTACGATATATAACACATAATACTTTCTCCTAAATAAAAAGTTCAGCATATTTATAGCCCATTAAAATCAGACATAATTAAAGAAGAATAATAACTCAAAAATTGACCGCGGTTTTCCCACAGGGAAAAATAGCGGTTAGAATAATCAAAACAAACAATTATGTAATTTAACGCTCGTCATTTTACTGACACAATTTTTAGATGTTTATGTGAAAGTACTTCGTGTACTTCTTTACTTTCGGTTACATCGTAACCAGACATCCTTGATTGACATTGACGAAGTTCTGATAATTTGTCAGAACTAAGTCATCGTCAGGTATTCATATCCGAGAATTGTAGAAAGTACCATTCTAGTGAAAGTCCGGCAGATGGCACTAGATTACATCAACTACTAACGTGATCACTAGATAAATAGGGAATCCGGAATTATTTTCACTTTCTTCGTGTTTACCATACCCACATACCTGAAGATAAGAGTACGAGCAAGGCTGATACACCATGTCTACATTTCCAGTACAATGAAATATTATTATGTCATTTTCCCATGGTAAAGCTCCTCTTGGTTCTGGGCCAACATGTGGCGAAAACTTGTTGATCTCTCATGATTACAACACATTAGATATCGATGTTGAATTTTATTATGATTAATATATCTATTTATTATTGAGAATTAAAAAAAAAAGAAAACAGTATTTCATATTTTACACCCATGACGTCTTACTGCGGATGTCGCCATAGTCATGATTTAAATTAAAGTCAGAATTTGCCGCTTACTCTAAAGCAGACGTGTACACTAATTGTGCCGCTTGTCACAAAAACCTGTACTAATGTAAAATCTTGAGCTGTTCATATCCGTATTTTTTGATCACACGAATCTAATTTTATTTTTTTCCAGGTACTTTTTCTTTGCTTCTCGTCGGTCCTCGCCGGAAAAACCAAGAAATTTAAAGATGAATCAGCCGTCCTCAACAAAAAACTAATTGGCAAAACGAAACCTTCACCACCGGCTATTATAGCGATTGAAATAGTTGATCCAAACGAGAACAAGACTTCAAAAAATTCCAAACGAACGATCGACTCCTCTCTGGGCTACGGCTACCGTTCTTCACCGAAATACCAAGTGTATAAGTACTCCCAGCACGATATACCACCTTACAAAGGATCCTCAAACGTGTTGAGCGGTGGTATTAAAAGCCATCAGTACGATTTTCACAAATCGGTTTCGTACAACCTGCCAACTCAAACCCACAAAACCCAAAACTTGAATCAGTACTACCAACCAGGAACTACTTTCTATTCGACGGTTAACCAACAAGGCCAAGTTGGTAGTTTGAGTTCTGATCTACCTCAAACACACACAAACGAACCCCAAGTACCTGTTATTATTCTTAGAGTGTTACCAAGTCAGTTGAACGATCCTTCGGCTGTTCTGCATCCAAATCTCCCCCAAAGTCACCCGCTGGCTTCAGTGGTTAATTCAATAGACGTTCAAGCGCTGTTGACCAAGTACGTCCAAAATCTGCTAGTTGATCAACAAGATCACTACCAACCTCAGTATCAATATCAGCAACAAGTTCAAGAATATCAGCAGCCAGCACAAGTGTATCAACCAGCGCAAGAATATCAATATCAGTATGTTCAGCAGCAACCTGAGTATCACAGTTATCAAACTCCGAGCAACGACGGTCTTTTAACTCATGAGAACTACCCCAAAGAAACACACACAAGGGTGATTTTCCGTACCGACAAAAACAAACTTGGAATTACCCCATCCACTGCGACTAAAACTGTCAAAATAGCCATCCCAGAAGGTGCCTACAGTTCGGTTCAAGTACAGACTCCGAGTATGCATTATGGTTACACTAGTCCAGGAGATGGTTCTGCTCAGCAGTATTACTACCAACCAGCAGAGGTTGCTCAAAATTATTATTATCAAAGTATTCCTGATAGCAGCTATCAGCAAGTTGAGCCTCAACAACAACTAGATTACGTACAAGCTGCTCCGGAAAATGAGAGTCCTTACAATTATCATGCTCATCAAAAAAGGAGTAAAAAGACGAAGTTATCGAGGCTAAGGCCAGAAGAGACGGTAGACGATTTTATTAAGCTAGATCTTGTTACAGCTTAATTGTTATTGTAGTTGGTTATTTATGTTAAACTGGTTGTATTTATATAAAAGTCATGAGTACCTACGATACACTGTGGTGTATTTTGGTTTTTGTTTATTTCAAAATGTGACTGTTATGTGCAATGTGGAAGTATTATTGATGATCTGTACTAATTTTATGCAATACTGTAATTATAGTTTTATTACAAATGAAATATATTTATGCCAAAATTTCGAAATAAAGAAAGACAATATTTTATGCACTTTGGTATTATTATTGTGTTGATTACGCAGGTTTTAACTTGCTGTCATTAAACTGGTTTACTTTGTTATTCAACATTCGGTTTTTATAACTTTTTTCGTTCTAAAGTTAAGTAAGGTAAACAAGGTGTTTTTTCAGTGTACCCGTTCCAAACATTAGTCCATGTCACTACTGCTAAATGTCGCCAATATCTTGAAAATTATTATTTATAACTTTCGTTTGTTATTTTGTACATTATTAGTTTTACAACACTATGAACAAAAAAACTGGGTTTAAATTGAAAGAGATCACTCACACTGTATCCACAAGGGATAATAATAAGATTAATAAGACATGTAATACTTTGCTATGAAGTAGGAAACACTAGTTTATAGTGAAATAAGATGATTTGGCGAAATCACTGAAATTAAAGTATTTTGTTTATGAAGGGGCGGAAACTAATCAAAGTCTGCCGATAAAAATTCTTTACCAAATACTATTTCTTTTAAAAATTATAATGTTAGATAGGCAACCAATTATACACTATTTAAGTTGAATTAGTGAACTACCAAACTGTTATTACTGGTATACATACACTGAGTGATCACCTTATATTAAAGCACTCAAAAATGATAGATCCATTAGTCCTACTTAAGTTTTTGATAAACATTTATTTATTTTTTTAAATCAAAATTTGTATAAGTCTTTTTTGACTACTCTCATGAACTTTCAAATGCCAGACAATAATTTAAGGTGCCCATTGTTATCCATGGAGTCTCAAGAGTCTATCTTGATGAATTTTTAAAGTTATAATATTTTATGAGTTTTATAAATAAACTGATCAATTGTTATTATTTCCCTCAAAACCCACTTTTAGGGAGTGTTTGTTTCAGATTTGGTGATAATTCAAAATTTTCGATGAATGTTTCTTTTGTCATTTTATGTGAATGGATAACACTGTTCTGTGACTTAAGCTAGATATTTCATTTCAACAAAAAGCAAGAAAAAAAATATAAACAAAAGCATTGAGTAGGTTTATTCAATTTGTAATATAGGGTGACTATTTATTATTACTGAAGAAAATTTTTGTGTTGGCACTTCTGAATTATTGACATCAATATGTTAAGTAAACGTGTTGGGAAGATGGTCGCCACTCAAAGTCATTTAATAGATATCCTCTATTAACTAACTTTGGTAGCCAATGACTGATTAGTGTCATAAATATCAAGTGGAAAATCAAGTAAGCATGGCATCATCAAATTTTAAATATGTTGCCAACCTGAAAAAAAATCACAAACATAATTAACAAAAAATCAGTGTTTTCACATTTGTTGAAAAAAAAAAAGAAATTGTTTCAAAACGTCACCATACCACGTGTCTGAAAAATGACGGATTAAGTCTTCAGTACATTATGTACGGAGATTTCAGGAGTCTCAAAAAAATAATAAAAACAAAACCAACAAAAGAAAAATCCATTAAGGCATAACCAACTAAACACTAGAGAAGATGTTCAAAATCCCTGCTTTGTGAACATAAGTAAGCTCGTAATGTTTCTAAATTTTGATTTTTTTTTTCTAAAAGTTAGTCCATCAGTACTTGCTAAGATAAAACTGATTTTGGCAATGACATACCCTCCAAGAAAAGGGAGGGTGGGTGGGCGGGGTTAAGATAAGGCTGATTTTAGCAAATGAGATACCCTCTAAGAAAGAAGAGGGTGGGTGGGTGGGGCTAGTAGTTGCTAAGATAAAACTGATTTTGAAAACAAAAACAACGGCGCAAAATCGCATTTGAATAATTTGAATTTGGAAAAAAAGTTCTTTAAGAAATTCCTTAAACCGAAGCAACCATGTGCAAATTTAGTTATTTTCTGGTAGTTGGTAGCTCTCCTAGGAAACTTCTGTTGAGAGGGTTGGTAGAAGTTGATTTGATTGCTAAAGGGGTGAGAGGCGTCACTTTTGGTTTGTTTATTGTGAGTAAAACTACGTGGTGAGTTAGCTAGATTTAAGTTTAATTGTTTTGGTAGTTAATCAAAGGGAGGAAGCCTTTGTTTAACGACAATTAATTGTAACGACGACGACGGCACAGTTTCCCCAACACGCGTATCTAATTCTTGCTGTTTTTTCAAGCGAAAATATGTGAATTTTCGACCGAGGCTAACACATTTGTTTCGTTGTTTATAAATTCACAGTTGATGTTAGGATTTTAATCGTTAACTGGTTCTAACACAATTTAACGGTCCTGAGACTGTTTAGATTCAGCACTTGCTAGAAGATTCACTTAGTCAGGACTCATCCTTTGATCCTTTGTTTATCAAATTATGAATAAGGTTTCTGGATGCTTATAAAGTGTTACATTATAACACTTCTCAATTCCTCCCACAAGATTGTTAATAGTTCATTTACGGCAGTTAAATCAACCTAATGTTGTCCCACTCTGGGAAAAGGATCGTGAAAGTGCCGTAGAATTCATGATCTCGTGACTTGAGGTACGGGGGATTAAAAATTTTTCTCTTTAGGCAGTTATTATCATCATATAATCATCACGTCATCGAGACATTTTTCTCGCAACGTGGAAAGCTACAATTATTACCAAGACATATTTTCTCGCAACGCCGGATGCATTTTGTGTTTATTTATCATTTGGAAGCTTATTCACAATCGCTTAGACTGTAGCAACATATTATCGCTTATAAAATTTCATGTCCCACGTTTGAACTCTCGATATGCATCAACTTTTGATTTTTCTACACCAAAAACAAATATACTTAGGAGAGCACCGCTGACAACTATGTGCCATGATGCTGATGTATTTTATTATGATATTTTTAATGATAAAATGTAATTTCTTCCCAAATAGTCTTTAATTGATTAGTACTTATTATTTTATTAGGTTTTTATATTAGGGTTTTACATTTAGTTATTGTATTTATCATAATATCTTAAGTTAATTATAGATTTGTGGGTAACATTTAATTTAGATTTTGCCCTGTAATAGGGTAACAACCTGTTGGGCAATAAAGGCTATTATTATTATTATTATTATGTGTTTGTTTGGGATAAGCTGGGGACAGTCCACGATATAAACTCTCCTCAAAGCTAATTGTTTTAGGTAACCAATCACTTGGATAAAATTAGATAAATTCTTTGTTTGAATCTCTGATAAAGTGTGGCATCAACATAATGTGAATTCTTTGTTTGAATTGTTGATAAAGTGTGGCAGAATTTAACATCACGTAAATTCTTTGTTTGAACCGTTGATAAAGTGAGGTATAATTTGACATCATGTCAATTCTTTGTTTGAATCGTTGATAAAGTGTGGCAAATATTAACCTCAGGTAATTTTGTTAGCTTTGCCATTCAGTAATTTTCTTTGTTGTATAATTTAAATTGAACGTAAATTTTCATGCTCTGCACCTCACGTAATTTTTTGGGTCTGCACAAGTTTGATTTCACACCAGATCTTTTTGTTTGTATAAATCTTTGCTAGTTTTTTGTTTTGTAAATATTTTGTTTTCCATCATATAATTGTCTGATGTCCAATCTTAATATCAGATAAGAACTCTTTGCTGTTTAAGAAAAATTTACGAGAGTGTATGGCGAATTTAAATGTTATTTATTGCTCTTTTTGAAACTTTAACACTTGTTCAGTTGTAGTTTAATATCAGAGTCAACGTTAATTTGATTTCATTCAAAGTTAGGCAAGTTTATTTGTAAATAGCTGAGTATTAAGAGATGTCTTCAACCAGCACAACTTAGTCGCAGGTTTTTCTTTTTTTTTGTGTCCTCCATATATTTTGTGTTTTAGTTAGTACTTTTCCAACCTTGGGGTCCACCACTTGCATCTGAACGCATTCCGCCACAACAAAAAAAAGAAACACAACGTAGGGTTGCATTTTATAAGACGATCACAGCCAAGGCCAAATTTTTGAATTTTTCACGGGCTTTTCAATTTTTTCACATGTCAATTTAAGGCGGGATGTTTAGGTTATCACAACATACCCTCTAAGGAAAGAGAGGGCGGGTGGGCGGGGCTAGTATCTTCTAAGATGAAACTGATTTTGGCAAATGAGATACTAATTTTATCGGGGGGCAGATTTTCTAACATTAATAAAGACTACGCCAATTAGTTAGGAAATTTTTATTGTTATACATAATTAATTGTTCTTTTTTTTGTTAGCGTTTTACACCACGTTTAGGATTATCTTGTAATATAACTAAAGTTTCTTAATAATTTTGCAGCTTTGGTTATAAATGTCTAATATAGATATTTTCCCCAGGCAGACGATCGACAGATAGAAACTACAGTACAGTATAAATGACAAATTTATGATCTGTGAAATACTAAGGAAATAAGACATTAAATATTCGTGATGACTTTGACACCTTTGAAGAAAAAAGCTTAGTAAATATAAAACCGCATTGCCATCTGTACATTTTGGTTAGCAAATTTTTACTTGCAAATTATTTTAATAACTAGAAGTGTATTTCCAGGCACTATGAAATATGAGGTCAGTAGATGAAAATTTTTAAAGTGAAATTTTGTTTAGCGTTTTACGATCCTCACAGTAACCTCAAAAGTACGAAAAAGTTCAGAATAATCATAGGATAGTGTAGAAATGATCTGCCTATAATAAAGTTCTTAGACAAATGACATTCAGATGACAGATGAAAACCTACATTTTCGTATTCTGCGAGTTGTACAATGAGAAACATGCGCCTAATAACATTACACAAAGCATACTGACGATTTCTTGGATGGGGATTAAAAATGATTTTTTTGACACTAATTGTTAAAATTATTTGAACAAACAGCCTAATAGTTCCTAATAGCGTATGAAAGCGAAATGAACTAAACATTAGATTTTCATTAATAAAAAGTGTTATATTTTGATTCCGGTTTAGGTGACATCTTGAGACCTTCTAGCGGAAAATTTAGAGGAGCCTAGTTCAACAGCACAATAATTGTAACAACTAGTAGAACACACATGGTTAGCTAACCATGACACTTTTCTCAGCTGTTTATAGCAAATTGTACCTATAATAACACTAATAAAAACAATTACCTCGGACACGAACTGGTAAAATAAAAGATGCATAACATAACGCAAACGTGACAAAATAAGAAAGAATTTCAGCTATTTTTTTCGCCGAAAGAATGTTGGACGGACCTTTAACCTCCGCCACAATTTATTCCTATTTTAATCCACTTCCCCCTTGAAATGTATTACGTGGTCAACCTGTTGGCTTTTCTACCGAGACTTGACGAATTTATTACCGCGTATCTTTACTGCGTTTACGTTTTCTTTTTTTTTTCTATTTATATATTACTTCTTTCTTCTGTAGAAAACAAGGAAGCATTAAATTAATTCTAATAAAAACAACACATTTAGCTCTTTGTAAATATGAAGAAAGTGAAACATTTTTATTATGACGTAGCTAATTCGACGATTTTGGCTAAATAGCCGCATTAGAACGTTTACTTGTTTTGTACATGTAGTTAATTAACGTACCTTACAGAAATCGCTATTATTACTTTTCTACCATCTGGACAATCAATAGGTATTCTATTAAATTACAATGTACGGGAGTATCACGCATAGTGGTTTCGCTTCAGTAAAGAGTTTATATACACGAGAATATGCTATTAACACACGGCACTGAATAAAACATGGGTTTCTCTAATTCTCTATTAAGTGGTATTTCTCATGCCTAAAGGAAAATTTAGAAAAATTGCGAGTTTATAATTTTTACTTTGTTTTAAAATGCATGAGGCTGTAAAAATGAGGCCTATTTCTTTTTAAGGTTAGCATTTCGTGATTATCATTTCTTAAATAGTGTTAATTGTAGTTTCGAACACTGTTTTTAATGAAATAAAAATACTAATAAAAGAGAGAGAATAACACTAATCATAATGTGCCATGTTTTAAGTTAAAGTAAGAATGAACAAATAATTGGTTGTTAATACTCTAATACAGAGGATATGAGAAATCTGAATTTTCGTATTCTACGCGCTGATCATTGAGCTAAACATTCGTCAGAATAACCACATGATTTTTTGACTTGTCGTTTGAGGAATAAAAAGAAACTATTTACATCTGACGATGTGTTAAACATGCAATGAATAAATTTAAAAAGGTATGTCCACTAAACCGTTGCACCTAAAGAATAAGCGAGTTAAGAAAGAAACGAGTTTTTCGCTTAATTAGCCTCTGTCGGGTTTATCTCGTGTTTATGTCCAATTACGGCTAAGTACATTTGAAATTATGCAGGATAACCGTACAGTCAAACGTTTACCGCAATCATTTCAGCTGACAAAACTTTTCCCCGGCAATTCCATCTACTTATTTTTACTTTTATTATAGTCTAGTTCTAGTTCAACGATCTTACGAATATCTTACGAATATAGTAATTAATGTAAGTATTCATCGAAGGTTCGATCCGAATCAATGGGCCAGCAATAAAACATTTCTTTTCTAATCGAATGACATTGCACACAGCATAGCCATTATAGTAAAAACAATAAACACAAAACAAGAAAGTGAAACCAGTATCTACATTAGTTGTATGGTCAGCTTCGATAGAAAACAGGAAAAACAACGCTACTTCCACATTTGATTTCAGTGGAAAAGTGTCAGGCTACAAAAAACTAGTAATGCGGAAAAAATTGACAAGATTCTCTAGCAAATCGGTTCAAGACAATCTACAAATGTGGTGTTGTAGTAATGAACTTCCACTTTCTATGATGTATTAAATAACTTTTACTTAATGTTCTTGACCGTGCACATTAAACGCGATTGATTGGGTTTAATCAACCCTGGGTTTATATTAGAAATCTACTCGAACCATAAAACGAAGAAAAAAGAATTCCGTATGAACCGTTTTTAATGGAGGCAGTCATCAAAGAACTGAAACAAAACCGCTAATCTCTTACTAACCTATATTAATTAACACGTAATAAAACCAAGAGATTATTTTAACAGAACATATATTGCGTGCTCAAAAGGAAAATATTTTACTCGGTGCACATGGCGCAAGAAAGCGAATTTCACCCCTGGATTAAATTCTAAATGTCGTCGTAATCATTATTTAATGTAATTTTTTGCTGTTTAAACCCGCATTGTGTGAAATAACAATTCTTTTTTTTTGTAGAACTTCGTGCCGGTGCCATCTGAGAAAGTTATTCTGAAAGCCGTGTTTTATGGTAATAATTGTGCGCTTCTGTACTGGTACGGAATGGGGGGAACTTATATACCGAATATATCGGTTAAAATCCCTCATTTCATTTGTGGTGCTTGAGGATATTCAGCTGTGTCTGGTTAAAAAAGAACTAACAAATGGTGGTAGTGTTACAAAAATACAGTCAATTCTTTTGCATTTTTTAAAGTGACAACATGTTTCTCGTAAGTATTTTTATTTTTAATTAATACGTTTTTTTTATATTTTTGTTTAAAGCGAACACTAATAAATCAATTATTATTTGTTCGACATCTCGAAGCATAAATTACCTCGGCATTTATGCCAAAATTTTTGACCATAACTTTGTTTAATCAATAGAAGTATACGCACAAATATTTTATTCATTTACAACCCGAAATCACGAAGCTTAAGACCTTATTCCTTTTATTAAAGTAATCAATCAAGCTTTTATGGAACACTAAAAGAAAGGAATTGGTTAAAATGTTCCGAACGCACTTTGTTCAGATTGTTATCAAGGTTATTGGGACGTAAGAAAATTCCTTATTTATTTTCAAACGATGCACTTCTCATTTGCATACTGGAACATAACATGAAGGTATTTTTATGCATCGTGGAGTTATATGGAAATATCTGAGGAATGCGTGGACAGAGACCGTGTGAATCGTACAAGTTCGATCAATTTGAAGAAATTTGTCGTGCTTTAACTCTTACGATTTAATTAGTAAAAATGTTCCGGTCAGTGATAGAGATACAAAGATACAAAAGATCTAATCACATATTTATAATCTTCTTAAGTCTAGAACAAATAATTAGAGCGTTTAGTTCAGACTTTACTGAGTGAATTCTTTCAGGTGTCGACTCTTTTCGTACTGGTGTTAACGGCTGCGGCAGATCCCATCCAAAATCTTCGTCAACCGAAAGAAATAGCCCAAAGGCGACAACTCATCGGCTATTCTAATAACATAGTCCATGATCACCCAAATTATCCAGACCAAGCACCCCAAAGTAGTGTCAACGTGAACTTCAACACCCATCCATCTGAAACTAAAAAAATTTATTCGAACCACTACCAACAACCCTATACTCAGAACTACCCCACAAACGCACCACAGTCTCAGCTGTTCAATGTTGGTTATAGTGTGAGCTTCACCAATGGGAAACCAGTAAAACCTCCTCCGAAATATCCAAGGAACAATAATCTAGACGATGGCGAAATTATCACCGGTACAAGAAAATACAACGAACAAGTAGAAGTACCTAATGTTAATATGTCGCCGCAAGAGTACGTCCACACTGCGCTTATTAGTACCAAGAAACAGAAAATATCAGGCCTTAAACCTAAACCCCAACTAATCGCAAATTATCAAAGTCCGAAAGTACTACTATCTCAAGCCAATCTTTCTCCATCCACTCAAAAATACTACAGAACTCTAGAACAACTGAAGCCTCAAATTCAAAACGTGCAAGAGTTGCAACAGAAGTACACCTGGCGGAATCTGAGTCCTGGTGTTGAAATAATAAGAAGCACTGAAGTCCCAACAGGTTTGAAGTACACAAGAGTTGAAAATTCGGTACCGTTTGAACACGCCAGAGCTCTTGCTAGTCCCGAAGTTTCCAATACTAATAAATATACAAGAATAGAAGCTGCACCGTTTGATCATGGTCGTGCTCTTGGTAGAAGCCAAGAATTCGATTACTCCAATGCTATTGACAACAATTCTCCCCAACAAACCACTCTTTATTACAATAGTTTGCGGAAAGTTCAAGAAAAAGCGGAACAACAAATTCCAGTTGTTGTAAACCAAAATGTGGCGCAGTTACCAATCGATACCAGTTTGCTCAAAGAACCGGTAGCAATCCAAGTCGATACAAGATTCATGGATGAAGCATTGCGAAATCAGGGAGGCTCGTACCCTAAATATTCTCAGTCCCCGGAACAGGCAGTACAAGACGTGAATTATCTCCAACAAGCTTATAGAACAATACCTGTGGAAGAAAATACTCAGACGAAACCGGTTCTAGTCTATCGACAAGATCCTCAAACTTTCCAGGATTTCCAGCCTGACCAGAATCGTTTTCAGTTGAAGATTTATGGCAAACCTCAACCTCTTTCCGTCGGGTTTACTGATGGGCAAGATGAGCAAATTAAGCGTCAACCGAGGTTTTTGACTGATTTGCACACTAATTTAAGGCCTCCACCAATGAATTTGTCGTACCAAAGAAGAATCCGAGTTGGTTAGTTTACTATTAGGTGTACAAAAGGGCAGAAGCCCCACGATGCTGTTTAATTGTTAACTATAGATTGCTTCGATGTTGTTGTTTATTAATTCGTTCTTAGTTTAGACTGTTTAGTTGTGTAAGTTTTTATTTATTACTTGTTACGGCGTTTCTAATAAAGTACTATTCCACTGAGATTTCGACTTCAATACGCACACGCACATAAATCAAAATTTCGATGTTAATTGTAATTGTATGTTGGGGTAATGGAATCGAGTTGTAGGAAAAGGACATGCACTATTTATCGACTTCCTGCGTGAGATTTAGTAAACAAGTTAAAAAGCATGTATTTAAGTAGATTTCTTTGCTGTGTAAATATGATTGTGGATTGAGAGTACTTTAAATAAATAATTTTATTGTTGCTTGTAAATAATGCGTGTTTACCGGTTTAACAGATTTAAGCTGAAAGTTGAAATTACAGAAGCATTTGCCAACATGAATAAAAAGTGTATTATAATAGCCCAACATTCTCAAAATGGAAAGTTAATTGAGACTTGTAAATTAAAATTTTGTCTTGCATATGCATCTATACAACAGGTCATAAGCTTGTGGTGCTTTAAGATTGTAGGTGAAGATTTATAGGCACAAATTATAACGTACACGAGGTTTCACACAAATATTTAAATCAGGGCTAAGTCACTCAACAGACATGATTACTCGTTATTATTAATATCCACTTGATATTTAATTATTAATTTAACCAGTTTAACGAAGATGAAAGTGTAGGATACTTACACGATATTTCATATACTTATTAACGTAATTAGCCTTCAAAATATTTATTTATATAAATACATTGATGTTTTTCCACTACTTCTGTTATAAGGCGCTCATTATTTAAACATTTTACAAAAAAAAACAGGCCCTTTTTAGACAATAAGTCCTATATTTATAAATAATCTTAGTAACAATGAAGAAATGAATCTTTTATCGTACATATTATTTATTCTGATTGAAATGTTTGTGAATTTTATATTTGTGAGAGAATTTAAATTCTAAACTATGGTTTAAAAATATAAATCCTTAGGGCACAAAAACAATATAAATTTGAAAACGTTTGGTTGACATTGATAAAAAAAAAATTGTGAATCTTTTGAACTGATTGCAGGCATACTCAAAAGGAATTTTGTTTTATTAGAAGTGTTGACATTTGTAAAAGGATTGTTCAATGTTCACATGTCAGACTTGTGGCATTATTAACATTTTGTTTAATAACAACCTTTCCAGTTTTGTCTCCCACTGCTGAAATTACCGCGTGACTAGTAATAACTGAATCATTTTTTGGATTGGCAATGCTGAATTATTGGCTGCAATGTTAGTATGCCAGTTTATAGTTGCCAATTTTGACATGAGTGCAACTAAACACCAATGAGAAGATGACACCGACTGAATAATCGACATCAGGTATGTCATCATAAGATTTTAAATATGTTGCCAACCTGACAAAACTTTGATAGTCACACGGTATTCTTAATTAAAAATCTAGATGATAATAATAATTAGCCCGAATGTGCTTCAATATAAAAAAATTAATAATTAATTTTTCTTTCCTCCTGTAAAAACATTTGGGACATTTTCCTTTTCTTGTTTCTTGTTTGTCTTGTAATGTCTATCTTTTTTTTATTTACAGGTTGTTACAAAAAGAAGAAACATTTCTATAGGATCTTCATATCAAAATCAATATAAATTTTTTTGGCTTAAAATAATTACATTAATACATTATTATTGTATACGGAGTGACTATTAGCGACTGAAATAAATTTTTGTGTTGGTAATACGCAATTATTGGCGGCAATGTTACCACATCAGTTCACAGTTATTATCAATTTTGACATGAGGGGGTGCAACAAACGTGGCGTTTTTGAAAACGATTGTTTCTAAAAACAGGTTCATAAAACCTGCCATTGCGAAACTGTTTTCGATTTCACAATGCGGACATTTTGACAATGTGCAGAAAACCAGAAAAATGCTGATTTCGTGTCAAAAATAATGATTTTTTTGCCCTTATTCTGTTTTAGAGACGTTGGAGTTGCGTGTAAGGTGTAAGTAATTTTACTTCTGTTACGGTCGAAACTCAGAGAAAGTGTTGTAATAGAAAAATTTCGATGACTGTCCAATTTTTTGTTTTCTTCTGTTGTCGCAGGTAATTTTATTGGAAAAATAATCTTTCAAACCACAGAACTGATTACATTGCAAATTTGGTGCACATTACTTTCAACAAAAACTTTTTTTTTTTGTTTTACTCATTTGAGTGAATTGTCCTAACGAAATATACCAGGATTCAAACATTCATATAGGAATCAGGAAAACAGTCAAAGTCAGAAAAGAAAAAAGAAAAATATTTTTTGTTATTTATTTCCCGAATAATAAGCTCGATCCGACGAATAGCTACTTTCATGTTTTCTGGACGTTTCATAACTCCTAAAGTATTAAACAACAGGTCTCCTGTTTTCGTCTGCATCGATTTGTATTAGACAGATATAATTTTTGAAACTACCAGACCGCTTGTTGTCAAATTTTATATGTATGTTAGGAAGAGCGTGTAAATGGTAAATCGCTAACCAAAATCTTCTAATCATCCCCACCAATAATTTGAGGACGTCAGCTCAAATTGTTCGTAATAAATACCATTTAAATTTTATTAAATAACATACTCCTGTACATCCAGATTTTCGCAAAAAAATCGAAATTGAATAAGAATTTTTTAAATGTAACCGAACCGCTTACCAGTGACGTACAGTTGGAGTTTCCTGCTGGCAACGCGAAAATCCTTGGTTCGATTACTTTCCGGTTTTTTTTTTGCTGACACTGTGACTGGTATTACCTATATTGTTTTAACTTTATGTTATGATCAGTGTCGAATTGAGGACATGAGGGTCCACCGGGAAATTTACAAAGTGGGACCCTGTGGTATTATAGACAGATGTTGTTTAGGTATTATTATTACTATTATTATTTTCAGTTTTCCCAAAAGAAAAACAAAGCTAGTAAAAAATATGGAAGGTTATTCTGGCAGAACTTCCCTCGCCCTTGAAGTATAGTCCGACAAATTCCATTTCTTTAAAAAATTGTAAAATTAGATTTTGCAATTTTCCTTTTGTGATAATTGTGATAAACGTCTATAAAGTGGTGTAATTAACATCCCCGCAACCCCTGTGTCTTTAAATATGAATATTTAAAGCAGATAATTAACCGGAAAAAATGCAGACATTCTCCGTTTCTCAGTATATGTTTAACTTCAACTGTTTATGTTTACGTTTCAATCGCTGTTATCAGTTAGAAAATGAAATTTGGTTAATTTTGTGTTCTCAGCGCAGGGCAAAGGACTAATTGATTCATTCATACTCAGTTTTTTTCTCAGAAACACTAATAAATTTGAAGAAATGCGGCAAAAATGATGACGGATAAATTTTTATTAACGATTTACCATGTTTCAAATAATCTTAAAATATTTGCACGATTTCACAGCATTCGGTTTTTGCAATTTCAAAGTTAAATTGTAAAATATTGTTATAGAATGTTGATTTTTTTTACAAAAATCTGGTTGTTAAGGGTAAAAATTCAACACGGATTCTAAATTAAACATAATTCAAGAAACATTTGTTCTGAAAATGACGTCATCATTTTTTAGGAGGCCACAAACGAAAAAATGTTGATTAACGATTTACCATGCATAAGATAGTCTTAAAAGCTTACAAGTTTTCAGAGTATTCGGTTTTACAATTTCAAAGTTAAATTGTAAAATGCTGTTATATAATTTTGATTTTTTCCGCAAAAATATGGATTCTAGGGTGAAGACTCGACACGGATTCATAAATCACACATGCAGGAATATGCAATTCTATAAAATTAATTGTATATAATATGTACCAAAACAAAGAGCTAAATTAGTAGTAAGTAAAATTGTACATTTTACCCCACATTTTGTTTTTTATTTTATTATAATGGTCCTTTATCATTTTTTAAGAAAATAGCCAATTTTGACCTAGAAGTGTTTTTTTTTGTAAAAATCAGTGATTTCTATACCTTTTAAAAAATAGTCTTAAAAATGGGGTGACATATTAAAAAAATGTATTAAAAAAACTTCCACAACAAAAATTGACTTTTTTATTTTATAAAAAAGCAATACAAATCTTCAACGTCAAAATTGATCTGTTTGCTTAAAAAATAATACAGTACCTTAAAATAGATGAAAAAACAAGTAAAAATAGCTTAAATAAATGAAAAAAAAATTGGGATAAAACGTATAGTAGTCCCAGAGTGACTTCGTTTTTACGACTTCATCCTATTGTGGAAGAGTTAAGTTCTTCTGCAATAGGCCGATTTTGTGCACACCAAATCTTCAAGGAATGAAAGTGGATCCGGTCCTGTATTTCAAGCTTTTGAAAACCTTACATGATTTATGGCACGTTGTTTACACTTTCAATAGAGCTTGCGGTACTTGAGTTTGCAGTCCATAAAAACAAAGTCACTCTGGGACTACTATACCATTTTACTTTCTACTAATTTCAATTCAGAAATATCATTTAAAACGTCCGATAATCCAATCCGACTCCTTCAGATGAGAACAGGATTTGAAATAACAAACAATGCTTTTGGAATCACCAAAATTTATATTTGGTAAACATAAATTAAAGAATATTTATTAGGTAAAATTGTAAAATGATGTCGTTATTTTAGAGGGACAAAAATGAAAAAAATTTGATTAACGATTTACCTTGCTTACGATAACCTTAAAATGTTTGCAAAATTTCAGAGCATTCGGTTTTACAGTTTCAAAGTTAAATTGCAAGATTCTGCAATTTTGATTTTTTTCTACTGCAAATTTTGGGGTCTGACGTCAACAAATTGTTGGTAGGGATGATTAGCGTTTTACCATCTACACGATATTCGTAATAGACACAAAATGTGACAATTGGTTCAGTAGTGTATATTAAAAATCCGGACAAATGGCAGACAGACAGACAGACAGACGGAAAAAGAAGTAGGCTGTTTCGTGGTTCACCGGGAAATTTCCCGGTGTCCGGGTGAGACAGTGTGACACTGGTTATAATGGAAACATTAAATTTCCCCAGATCAAATAAAATAATTTTTCAGAATTGTCACTAAGTATTTGCCAAACTATCGACAAAAATAT